ACTGTCGCATTTAGCCTATTTTTTCATTGCTGTCCCTTGATCTTTCCTGGGTTACTTAATAAAGACTTTGTCACATTGCAAAGGGCGCTAAAAGCTGTTTGTTGGGCGAGTGACGTGCATCTAAGACAACTCATTGATATATTGTTGACAGACATTTGAACTCATGAAAAAAGTTGGCGAGGGTCATCTCATCGAAGTCTCACTACACTGTTTATCCTCTGGTGTCTTCTAAGGTAGGACTACAAGCAATTGTAAACGATTTTAAATTCACACCACTGAAAGTAACAATAAAATATTAATGATAAGAAGAATAGAAAGAGCTGTTTATTTACTGTATTTTCGTGTCCAACACTTTTTTCACCATTTAAAATAAGTGTCAAATAAAATAAGGTATCATTGAGTTTTTAGTGTCTAGTAATTTATGTATTATTGTCACTATGATTACGTTGTGTTAATGAAAGTTGTGCAATGGTTACTCCTGTTATTACGTAACTTAAAGAGAAAAAAGTTAGATGCAATATTCTACTACATGGTGATAATTTCACGTAGTATCGAAAGTACTGTTTGGAATAAAGTAATTATTGTTTTTGACTGAAGATCACTCAAATTGATGCAGATCCATTCACTCCTTGTTATCTTTCAACTTATGAAAATGTTGGCAAACTTCATTGTAATTACTCTTTCTTCTGCACACTTTCGTCCCTTTTTTCTAGTTTCCTTGCATTTCTCTTCTAACATGTATCTTTTGTCAGTTGAGTTCATTGCCTTTTTTATTTACATATTACGCCCGTCAATTTGGCTCTTAAATTTGTTCAGACTTCATTGTGCGTCGGTGGCACAGTTGTTAGGACTCTCACCGACCATGCACATGATCCGGGGTTCGATCCACTGCCGAGGCACACCTGATATCTATGGTCGGCCTGCAAAATTTGGGCTACCGATATCACATGCTGAAAATTCCATACCTGTACCAAAAAATACGGTGTGGAATCAAGCTGTAATAAAAAAGTCCTACTTGAAACCACTTGCTGCACTCAAACGTTTTATGATTTGTTTTTAAATTGTATTCCATATATATATATATATATATATATATATATCATGAACTCGGTAAAACATCGACATCGAAAAGTGCACAACAAAGATATAATATGAAGACAGTATGAGGATGTAGATGAAGAGCGACGGCATGAGGAACAGAGTGATCAGAAGTCGCTTCTGTATTATGGATTGAAAAAGCAATCATTCACTTTTTATCCCGCCTTCATTACATGGGACTCGAGGGTTAAAGGGCAGCATCATAACACGCTTCACTTCCAACATACCTGTCTCCTATGGTGTAACGAAACGTGTCAGTGAAAAAGTATTCTTCATTTTACGGCTCCGTTACCACTTCTGCTAGCCAGTCATAGGGCGAGCAGACATGACATGTAAACTCGTAACCAACCATAACTGGTGCGTTATCTCATAACAAAAGGATGTCACCCAAATGCCCTCAATTTTGTAGTTTCTTTCCAGGTTACGGCTTTGAAGATTACATTATAGAAATGTCATTATTGCTTAGATCAAAGTGAAATCTTTGCACTGGTTCACAACGTTTTTTCTGTACTTTGGGGTTGATTTTATGGTGTTCTTATTGTTATTTACACACAAACGTTTGCATTGCATGCACACCAAAAATGTGTTACACAAAATGTAGCAGTAATATGAAGTGAGGGGAATAAAGGTATTCAGGATTATGAAAAAGAGAAGACGTTCAGCGAAGAGACTCTTTTCGGCGAATTCATTCACATAGCTGTACAATTGCATTTATATATAATTATTTGTGTGTGTGTGTGTACATGAAGTTTGTCAAGCTTAGATAATTGATTAGTTAACACAAGAATGATGTAATATAGAAACAAAGTTAATCAGACAGCAACTAAAGTAAGATTGAGTTAGTAAGCTAGGTGACGTAATATAATTGACTAAAATGTTTCAACTTAGATCAGGGTAGCAACAGAGGTAATTACAGGTCGAGACCAAGTAGAAGTGAAATTGAGCAAATAAGTTGGATGACGTAACATAAATGACTAGAAATTGAGCGTTGTTCAAGTCATTACCAGCGGTAGTGAGATGTAGAAATTGAATCGGGTGGGGGTAGCTTACTAACTCAATCTTAATTTAGTTGCTGTCTGATTAACTTTGTTTCTATATTACATCATTCTTGTGTTAACTAATCAATTATCTAAGCTTGACAAACTTCATGTACACACACACACACACAAATAATTATATATAAATGCGATTGTACAGCTATGTGAATGAATTCGCCGAAAAGAGTCTCTTCGCTGAACGTCTTCTCTTTTTCATATGACTCAGTGGGGATTTTCAAGCTATTCAGGAATAACCGAATCAATGGGTGAGCATTCTTCCAATAATTTGCCTGTTATGATTGAAGGTGGACTTCATGTCTTGCCTCAAAATACTCTCATGTAGGCATGTGTTCGTAACCTCTGCTGACTTTCTTTTTCTACTGACGGGTACTATATTGATCTTACTTCAGAATGCCTCCATTGAGTCGTGGCTTTTTATATATGTGTGCTTCTCATTTGTGCTGCTGACTGCGACCTAGCTGCTGTGCAGGAAAGGAACATTGTATCGACAACTAACCAGCCTTCCTCACCAAGGTTACTTAATGCCTATTCAACTGTTAGTATGGGCCTGAATACTCATGTAGAATATTTACAAGCATGGCTACACCTTGTTATTTACTGTTTAAGCACGAATTTGCATAAATCGCATTTCAGATCGACAACGTGTGATTTCTTCCTTTTATAATATTCTTATAGCTTTCTATCATTTTGTGGTTCTCATTATGTCAATTTAACATGGCTCCTTCCCAAAGCTGTTGAGGTGTTGACAAACTGATTGTATTGATTTAGCAGCTTCATACGAAAATGAACAAGGAGTATTCTGTTGTTACTCAACCTCATACTGGTCACAGTACTGCGTACTGGAAACCTGCATCCTAAGTGAAAACTGCTTCATGTGGTAGATATTCCAACGACACCTAGTTTTGGTAGAAGCAATCCTTGATCTAAGTGGCATTAAAAATAAAAAAAATTTCCACTAAATCAACTGTTCAAACAGAATCCTCCTTAATGAAATTGCGTACAGTATTGCGTTGTTTTAAAAGCACATCTTCCTTTCACTCAGAAATACGGACAAGAGCCAAATCGAACGACCATCTGTATTGTCTATAGACGTATAAACCCATAGTGGCGCACGCATTGATAGAAATGGTCTGTTTAGCGTGTTTCTTTTTTTAGCCAAAATGTCAGTTGCTAGTAAAATACTGTGCAAAATGTACCAGAAGCCCATCATTCCTGGGCTATTATTTGGTTCATTGGACGCTATTTTGTTCTAGATGATATGACTCAATCTTTCCTACTGGTAAGCTATCTGGGTATTTCTCACAGGCATGCCTCATCTGATGTTGTCACACTCCAAATAATCATACAAAAAGAACAAGCTGAATGATTTTATGGTGAATAAGCATGAGTGTTTCAGAGAGGTAATATTTTAATGAAGGCTAGCCAGAATTTCTGTGCGAGACGGTGGTTTAGGGATAGAATTCTCGCCAGCCACACACGTGGTTCTGGGTTCCATTCGCAGCTGATGCTCTCCTAAACCGTTCCTAGCTGGGCGAGAGGCTAGGCATCCCACCCTGTAAAAATTAACTCTCTACTAAGACTTCAAAGCGTAAGCTTGACGCTCTCTCACAACTCAGAGGAGTGGGAAAGAGGGAAAGGTAAAATATCTACGATTCTCAAGGTGACAGTCGGCTACTGATTTGTCTAAGTTCAATTATATGGGACAGATTTTTCGCTTACCGGACTAGTGAGAGCCACATTTATCGTGTTGGGGTCGATGGTACTACCCATTTGTCCATGGTGGAGTAGGGGGCGGGGCTCGAACCCGTGACCCATCGACTGAAAACCGAGTGTTTAAGTCATTGAACCACGTCTCCATATCGCTTACGGATAGTCCTATTGAGACATAACATTATTCAGTATCTGACTGTTAATCTCTGCCACTCAAGGGAGATTCAGGATTTTTGTTGTTGGCATCTTGAGATTTTCATAATCATTGGTCAACGACTATTTGTGAAATACCTGGAAGGAGTTCACGGATCCACATATGTATGTCTTCTATCGTTTTCAAGTTCCGAGTATCTGTACTAGTCCTCGTCAAACTCCTCATTTCCCCCATACGTGATTATTCACTTAAGTCAAATGACATTGTTCGGTGTGTGATGGCTGCTAGTAGACTGATGTATGCCTATGCAAAGTGGATTTGTTAATCAATCAGAAATAAGGACAAGGTGCTTTCTTATGTAAAGGAAGCTTGTTGCTGTTGTGCTCCAGCTAGCAGGCATTTTCACTTTAGCTCAGACAGTTTACACTACGCGACAACTTCTGTTTTAAGCCTTATAGCTATGCAGCTAACTTTTCTAGGATATTGAGACTTTCAGGAATAATACTTAAATTATTGGGATGTAGAATATCTGCTCATTATAGTTCTTTTTCTTTTTCTCTACCTTTGTATGCTATATGGAGAGTGGCAATTTGGATTGTCGCACTTCTGTGTGTGTAAAGTTCTATGTTGAAACTGATTCATTCAGTCAGACTATCTAACTCAGTGAGTAACAGCTCCACATTGTTTATCCATTCTCACAGTGGTAGATCTGGGTAGCCAGTTAAGGACTACACAAAGTTACACATTAGTTGTTGCCTATAAGTTTAGAATAAGTAGCAGGCTTTCAGAACATATTTCTACTATTGCTTAATTAGGCCACGATAACCCCTTTCCTTTCGTTATAACCTCCTCTGTTATCAAAACAGTTGGGTTGCAACCACTGCGGTCTCTCTGCTTGATTTCTGTAATATTCCAAGTACTTCATGTTTGTGCATATTTTATACTGCCTTTTATTCTTCGTATTTTTTTTCGAATTACAGAGTTTTCATCTGATGAACAGTTATTCGATTCGGGTCGTATGACTCCAGATGGACTGATTGATGAAGACTTTGAACGGGAACTTGGGTGTGCAGCAAAGGCAAGTACAGTTCAGTTTATATTCTAGATATCGTGTAAACAGTTAGTGATTTATTCTACTTTTCGGATTATCTCAAAATTGAAGTGTGTGTGTTTGTGTGTCGTGCCTTCCAGCCCAATACACTTCACAGGCTACATCGTGTGTTATATCAGTTTCTGTTAACTGTGGAAACGACAGTGAATCATTTTGTCTAAAACAAATGTTCTTCTAGTTCCCTCCTCCCTCCTGCCCCCCTGTATTTTTATGACGTAGACTCACATATATATATATATTCTTCATGCGTAACGAGAATTATGCGCACAGCTGGTGGTGGTGGGTACGTCATCACAATCGTCTCTTGTGCGTGCGTGCGTGCCTGTGTGTGTGTGTGCGTGTACATATTAAAACGTGTAAACAGGCTTCTCTGCACAAAAGATATCATGTGCGCAGATCAATTGTGGTAGTCAAATTGCTGAGATTATATCAAAAATATAAAGAAGAAATAGTCAATAAGTAAATTGTTTTTGTCCTGGTGACAGCTGTGTTTACTCACTTATTAACCCACTCACTCACTCACTCACCCACTTACTTACTGTTAGTAGTAGTAGTCGTTATAGGTGCTTAAGAAAAAAAAATTGTCAGACTTCTTCACAATGACTTTGGAATTAATAATTTCGAATTCAATTGATGCTTCTTATGTGTGTGTGTGTGTGTGGTTGGTGTTCCTCGTGAATCCTGAAGTGTTCATTTAACAGAAACTTGAAAAAGAAAAATAGAAAACAGATTAAAAAAATGTCACAGGAAGTATTAATCAGTCAGTAGTCGTCATAACAACATTCCATATTGATTTTTTCTACTCTCTCCATTTGTGTGTTATTTCTTTTATCAACAAATTTAGTTTATTATTATTATTGTGATTACTATTGTTGTATTGGTTTTTCGATTTGTCAATACTACTATTTGTATATTCAAGTTGGGTGTTCCTCTCTCTCTCTCTCTCTCCCTTCTGTGTGTACGTTGTGCTTTCTCCTCAACTCGTGTTTTCTCCTTGCTTGTTGATTTATGATTTTGGGAATTTAGAGATTAGTGCTTGTAGATTGTGTACGTGTGTGTGTGTGTGTAAGAGTATATTATAGGAGCTCTGAAGTTTCAGTAGCGACATGGTCTTGTTTTTTACGGGGTGACTTTGCTAGCCTCACGCTCAGCCTTCTTTTTTCCCAGGCTTGCTAATGGTGAAGCGAGGCTTAGGAGTGCACCAAACGGGAATCACAAGATGTGAGCGTGGTTGGCGAGCATTCTACCACTGAACCCTACCGATGCATGAAAGAGAGCATTAAATCTAACAAGTTCTTGTTGTAGTATTACCGCTCAGTTGTTTGTTGAGTGTACTGTAAAGGCACCTATCCTAACATGCTTGTGACGTGATTTGTTTCTTTGGATTACTGAACCCTCAATATTATGACATTGAAAAGATACAGTAGACTGGATATAATATTGGTTTTGTAGGGATTTTGTTTGATTGCATGGAGGATTTCATCATGAGCTGACATCAGTTAGAGAGCCACTGGAAAACCCGGGAGTACTGGACAGCTGTTTCGTCAGCCTAGTTTGGGACTCTTAATCGGTACGCACCCCACCGGGGTTCGAACCCACGACATTCTGGTTACAAAGCGAGCTAGCTCGTAGACTACTGAGCCACTGGGACCCGATCCAATGGTCCTTGAATTCTAACTTCTGCCAATTCACGGCATAGCGCGACCATTTCGCAATGTCTTCTTCGATGAGTTACTGCCTCATCTTCAACCTGCTGTACACTACTGGTCACGGCTTCCCTCTAGAACCCCAGGTAACTACCTACCTGAATAGGGCCAGTCGCTAGTGAGCATCAGATTAATTTTCAAGTATTGGTTTTGTAGGGATATTCTTCTCTAAGAATCAGTGGTCAGGTAGTTTCAATGATGAATAAAGTACTCCAACTTCTTCATTTGTCCAACCTTTTATTCTTCCTCCCCCTCCCCCGCTTTTTCTATTGGTTTCCTTTATCTTCATTGATGATTCATTCTGCATGTTTCCGATAGTTAGCTGAAATTATGTATAGGGATTAAGAAAGCGCACATAGAAGTGGTGAAATCACAATGAACGAAGTTATATGGATCGAAAAAAGAATCTAGATCTAGACTGAACGAGTGATTTGTGTCTAACGGCGCACAAACTTGACGATATACTGGCGAAAACAACAAGCTGGCAGAGGAGACAGCGACTTGACTTGACATGACAACAACAAGCATTACCCACCATCAATGGGAGAAATCTAGAGGAAGTCGCCTCTTTCACTTACCTCATCTAATTGACTGCGTCTCAACAAAGTGTAACGGCAGGACAAGAGTGTTCGGCAGCGGTATTATTTATTGGCAACTCGATATTCGCATATTGGCAAAATACGTCTACCATGTACTAGAATCACAATTTGCACGTGTTTTCGACATTGTGTTACTCTTGTCTTCCATGTTGGGCTTCTTTGTTCTCCTTTCATGTTTTCCATTTTGTTTTACAAGCATCGTTCATTGCTTTTCTTCGCCATAAAATCCATCTCTCTGCTATTCGATATTCTTGCCGGGGATACACATTTATGTCTGCATCTATATGCCACTTATAAATGTTATCAGTAGCACACGTCACAGTTGTACTTTACGCAAAAATGCAGCGGTTCAAGTTGCCACACTTCATGTAGCGCACTAAGATACAGAAAAGGAAAGGAGAATTCAAATATTGGACAGTATTGTATGACAGGAAGAATAGTAACATGAAATACATGGCGATTTGATGTATGCGAGAGGGTGTTGCGAAGACTAAATACATCTACACTATTAGAGACGGTTTCCAGCCATATCACCAACAGTGTCCAGCCATTGGTTCTTGGCGTCTCGACGACCCCATACAGACAGTCTCCAACTCCCTACACGGCTAGTTCAAATCATTAGTCAAAGTCTTCATAGACTGATGCTCTGTTTTCATTTGACTACGCCTAAATCTCAACCAACGTAATCCTATGTCAGCTAACATTGCTCGACGAGGAAGGCAATGGTCGGGCATGGATAAAGCGCATCCTAACCATCTCAATCGATGCTGATTCACAACCTGATCGATTGATTTACCTTCCTTACCTAGCATTTTATACCTAACCTCAATACTACTCAGCACTTTATACAAATTAATACTCGAGAGAGGACGCAAACATCTGTGGTGAAAGCAAGCTAATCTCTTCGAGTCTCCTACACTTTCCAGCCCATGTCTTGTAGCCATAAGGAATGACGGAGCGGACTGCTGAGGTGAACACACTTCCTTTAATCGATAACCGGATATCACATCTACGCCTGAGATGACGTAAGTTGGCAAATGCCACACGAGCCTTTTGTATTCTTGCTGAGATGTCATCAGAAATTTCTCTGTTGGGTTTGGTGAAGACGCCCAACCACTTTACTGTGTCTTTAACCAGGATTTTATGCAGACCAGTCCTACATCATCATCTCGCACTTAACAGGGGCGAATTGCACGCCAAACATTCGATGATTTCTACTCAGGGTGTTCAGAATACTCTGCACTTTTTCATCATGTTCACGCAACATAATCTACATACCCTAAATTGAAGAGACTGTACCATGGGAACAATTCAATCTGTGAGTTACTGGAGTCGATTAAGGTCGTATCTATCAGTACGTGTATGATGAATTTGAACAAAATGGAGACTATGGGCATCCTTGACGGACACCGCCGGTTGTCATCACTTCATAGGATAACTCACCATAAGTCCTTACAAGTTTGCGTGAGTTCGAGTGGAGCGCCTAGATTAGTGTGACATACAGCCGGACATTGCCACAGAATGAAATGCCGCCTTCAAATCAAGAAGTGTGTTTAGTGTTGGACGACAGTAAGTAAACCTGTGACCCATAATCTGTCGAAGGGTCAAGATGAAAACAGTACACTCTTAACCTGGCCTGCCTGGTTTTCTCGGGTTTATTTCCCCCGAGCACCGCTTAGTATTAGCATAGTTATTAACGCTAGAACTTGAGATGCCATATTAATCAAGCTTACCCACCTCCACAATGATTATCATAGACGGACTTGTTTCCCTGTAATATAAACTGGGATAATCAGTGGTTTACATCATTCTAACGAAATTATCACTGATTCAGAGACATCACCTAAAACCTTAGTTAACCCAGACAACAGTTTGTCACCACTACCCGTAAACATCTCTGCAGTAATTCCATTAGGTCCTACCGCTTTGCTCGGTTTGCGATACCAGTTACAGTTGGATACCTCTTGTATCACTTTAGCTCTCGTTACCCTCAATTTTCATGGTCATAGCGTAGGGATTTTGTCAGTTTGCATTGTAGCAGATTTTACTCCTCTTCATATTACGAATCGGTTTGCTAGCATCTGTCGGTTCAGATCAAGCATTAGAAATCCATTAGCATTTACTAACATTTGGTTTTAGATTATCAGTAGCCTTTATCATCGTTTCTACAGCTGACAGGATGTGTCTTGCTGCCAATCTTCGATACGTGTTCACTTATTTCTTCGCTAAACTCAGACTTCACAGTTGCATGTTTTCTATGTCAATTCTGTCTTAGGCACGTGCATCCCTGGACTAGTGCGTGATAGGATTATACGCAGGCGTCGTAGAAGGAGAGGTAGTCTCCTACCGGCCTTTATCAATATATTATCGCTATTTGTTCTCTTTAAGTCCATCGTTGATTTGGTGATGGAAGTTGCCAGGTGGCTCAATATTTCTATTTATGGTTGAAATTAGCACTGACCAGCAACAGTTCAGTATCTCAACTAAATTGTAGAGGACGATCACTTGTTGGTGCGTCGTCGTGAGACCTCCAGGCGTCAACAATATATTTTTCTGACTGACACAACTTCCCTATTTGAGCTGAGCTTGGAAATCACCTGCTAAATGACTATATCTGAACATCTTGCTTTTAGCTGTAAACTAGACAGTTTTTGATGGAATTCATCCTTTACTTCTCCCGAACTGCTGTCTGGTGAAGCTTAAGTGGAGACAATGAATAGATGTCGACGGGCGTCATAATCTTTTTCTTTTCTCATGGGTCCGTACAAGTAGAAAACACATGTGACCACTCACTGAAATGGAATCATGTAGAGAGTTTTCTGTAGCAGTTCTCAATGTTATTTCTATACCTGGAAATCCTCGTGGACTAACTGAAGGATCTCCTGACAACCATAAGGTGGATTCTAGATTTACCTTGTCTGCTTGATGATAGGGTTAAGTGTATTATCACACTTGGGTCTTGTATTTGTGTTTGCGAAACACAACATATATCCATAGCGCGAGATGCCAAAGTTCTGGCTAGTTAAGCCTGTTGTCTGATTTGAGGAAGGATTTTGAAATTGCGTATTGCAGTATGAAATCAGCAGCGTGGCTTCAGCATTACTGGTGTTTCTCCAGCTGTTGTTAGTATTAATGGTCGGGGAGTCAAGATAGGGAGTGGGACCACCTCATGGAATTGTATTAACATTAGTAGGTAGGTAAGATGAAAAGATTGGTGATCAGAAAGCCGTATGTGCTTATGGAATGGTGTGAGCGGTTATTACTTTCCGGGTTCTCACACTTTGTGAGTTTATTTCTTCTTGGGGAACCTAAAAGTGAAAGGGCATTAGTTTTGTGTGAGCGCCTAGTCCAGGGGACAACTGCTTGTGATCGGTCACACACGTCATGTTAGGGTTGGTTTTTGGTGTTGTGCCCGTTTGGAGATGTTACTTCTGGCTACGAATTGCCGCATGTTAAGTCGAGATGTACAGTTTTCAGCGTTGACACTCTCTAAGCACCCACTCTAAGAGCAGAGAGGCAGCATGGCTGGCTTTCTGGTAGTCTTAGAGGAGCGTCTTAGTAGTGATATTTTCCTATTCGCTCATATACCCCTAAAATACTGATAGTGGCTTACGCTATGATAGTGTAACCGCTATGCAAACAACCTTTCTGGCGTGTATCTGCAGGAACATCAATTCTAATGGGTCATTGTGGCCACCGTGATAAGATAACACCTATAGGTTGGAAGATAAACTCGTCCCGAAGTGTTATTCGCGTATGTCCGAAGACCAGCGATTAGTCATTGTATAGCATTGAAAGTGGTGACGTAACTTACAAATGTTTTCCTATCTGATTAGCATATGGTAGACGGTATTACTTCTATGAAGTAAAATGAATTACCCCGATAAAAACATGATACTGTCATCTAACAGATCACAAAGTGATCTGCATTCATTCTAAGAATGTTGGTTACTGTGAAGAATTTGGGAAACGCTGAATTCAGAATTATGTTGCACATGTACACCGGAATCTGAAAGGAATGTATGGTGGAACTGTTCTAATCACAATGGGAGAGGAGGTATGGAAATGGAGACTTCGGCTTTGCTCTGTCGCCTTGTGGATCAGACTTTAAGTCGTAGGCTTAGAGAGTGGTCTCTGTTCTACCTTGGTTTAGGCATCTGTGCAGTACTCAATCCTCACACCTGAGTAATGGGACCATAATTTAATGCTAAGCTTAAATCAACTGGACGCACTCTCTACTTAATATACCAACTACTTCGTGAATCGTATATTCAAACACTCACTTCATGACCATTATCTTGTCGTTATTATCGCTTTCGTGTATGAATAATTTTGCTTTCTTATTTTTACCATCTGTACGCTTACCTTCACTTTTATTTTCACCATCTGCTAATCAGCATTATTCGAAATCTTAGTTTCTCTATATCTTTTTGAATAGCTAAATAGTTGATTCCTGAAAGCTGTACTTCAATGTGTCGTCCAACACGGCTGTTTTAACAGTATTCATCGCCATAATTTGCGAAATACGACGTCCGCTCCTTGGTGTAAATCGGACAACTTGCATGTGTGTACAGAATCCTGGAAAACTTGACTGTAGACGTGTACTGTATCTCAGAGATCCAAGTGAAATGCTTCGGATAAATTCCCCACTTGTCAACTTAAATAGTGTCCAATGAACGTTTGTGTCAGAACTGTGTGCCGTCAGCATTCAGCTTACTTGGTTTCCATGTCGCGTTAACTGCTAGAGCTGAAGCTGTATTTCTCATCTACCTTCTTTTTAACAAAGTCATTTATGTGACTTTAGGTTATGTTGTAATAGATTAAACAAAAGCTAATCACATAGGCCACTACCTTTACATAGTTTCTCCATACACTGACAGTTTGCAAACTAGATGCATATGAGTGACCACTTCAAACAAGCGATCTTGACAGATACTATGTTGTTTGCTGGATAGTTTGATGCACGGTGGCACCTGTGATAAATGGAGAGTCGTTTGACTGTCAGAGGTGCTGAATGGTTTCAGGACAGACAGTGTGAACCATCTTTTATAGTTGTGTGCAGATTACAACATATTTGCTATCTTCACTAACTTTCGCCACAGTTATCATCGTTATTGTGTTGTTCATTTGTGTGAAACTAACTGACAACATAAAACAGCACTTTTGTAAGAGTTATAGTGGTTTGTTGTTAGTGTGTGTGCCTGCGTGAGGGAGAAGTGAAAACAGCTGAGAAATCTGCAGTAGTAGAAAGCCCTTACTGATCTTCTAGGATGTTGGAAGCAATAAACACGCTGTTAGTGAACCAGTGATTATGTCTACTTAAAATGTAAATACTTGGTTTGAAGATTGATTGAGTTTTTTGGAAAACATAGCTACTGATCACCACGAATGTGTTCTACCGACGAATGCAACGAAGAGGTGTTTCGAAGGGCATCTAGAAAGCATATGCTCCAGAAAACTTTAACTTTTTCTCATTGTAAAGATGGTGAAGTTGCTCTAGTGAGGGAAGTCACTACACTGTATGAGAAGGTGTCACATATGGTTGAAAATCGAAATCAATGGCGAACATATTTTAGTTTTCTCCTTTCCTCTCCTTCCTAAAGTAACGTGAAGTTGTGTAAATTCTTGATAAATGCGCGTGTGCATCAAACGTTCTACATCTTTTAAAGCTGTTGTGTTTCATGTTACTCATATTGTACCAGGTTTGTACTCAAGTAAATAATAATAATACATGCATATACATACAGTAGGTACACAATATTTACAGGACTGTTCTTTGGGATTTTCTGTGTAGGGAAGAGGTATCCTTCAGAATTTCATCAACATTCTGGTGACCTAGTACAAAATCTTATGTTGTTACCACTTTTCCCAACCAGTAGTAGGTTTAGACTGTGTTGCGCGTTTTCGCCATATCGCTTTATTTTACTGTCGATGATATTCTCGAGAATGCTGTGAATGCTGTGCACGGTGGTGACAGTATTGATTTCCTGCAAGGAGAAAGACTTCCCAACCTTTAGTATGTGAATGATATCGTCATACACTGGCCGTCCAAATCGCTCCTATACGGATAGAATTTGAGCACTGTGGATGAGTGTAACTCCGTCATTTGATAAAAAACTGATCTGACCTATGTAGTTGGCTTCACAGTAGATCGGAGTCAGTCAGGTAATCGGAACAAAGCAACATAACGAAGTGTAGAATGATTAACTCCAAGAAGATGAGTAGCTAAAAGAAAAACCCAGCAATCACAGTACATGCACCAACAGAACACACAGTAGGTTGATGAGATGTTGATTACTAATTCTTTGTTCATCGAGTTTATACCTAACACGTACAATAAGAATGATGCAACGCCGATACCAGATATATGGAGAATATTGCCACCAATAAAACTAAAAGAAGAAATAATAGAGTTATATAGGGGAAATTTATAAGTTATGGGAGTGCCTTGATTATGTTCACGAGCAGTAAATTGTGCTGGTAATGTTTTCAGTAAATAATATTGTCTCATTGTTTTTTTTTTCAAATAAAATTTTTGTGTCCCTAAATGGCACCTAGTCGGATAGTGATTAGTGTAGGTCGCAGTATGCACTGTCCTCCGTCCATGTGCAAAGCACTGTTGCAACATTACTAGGGGCTTGTATTCTGCAGAGTTCATGTGTCTAAGTAGCTGTGTGAATGCGCGTGGTAGTGTGACGGATGAAATTGGCAACCATATAGCTGTAGACAAAACGGCTTTGTGTATTCCCTGGTGTTGTCGCGATGATAGTCTGACCAAAAAACGTCTAGTTTTCAGCGCTTCATTGAATCCATTCTTCCCCTTTATCTGTATAACCTTGCCTGCGGGTGTTCAGTGGCTCTACATCTTTGATTACCTCACTTTCTCTCTACAGAATTCATTGTATCCAGTATCGGCATAAAATAAATAATTTTGAGATGTGGTGGAGCTCGTTTCTCAGTAGGTAGTGCCACATGAGGATATTGGTTATTTATGATCGATCAAACATTAGTTTTCCTTCTCTTTGATTGTAGCTGCATGCGAAGAGTGTATAATTGGGAAATCGCTCATAAAGATTGTGGTTCCATAAAGGCGATCCATCCGGGAAACTGTAGGATGCATTTTCAGAATACATGCTCTTTTCCATTCTTTCCGAAAGACTGGATTTCAAACAGAGTTTATCATTAATTCGAAACCACCTCACCCAGTTGAGTGTTACCATTCACTTTTGCTCAGTATCTCTCGTGTCTGAAATCTATTGGAGAATATGTTTCTCTCCAAACTGTCCTGCTAGTGTCGGTTTCAACGCAGATTGTTTGGCTATGAGTAAATGGGTGTTGATAACTAACTGTTCTTTGTATTATTTTTATGACTTCATATACAGCCACCTTCGTTGTGCTGTTGTTTAGTTTCTTTTCTAAATTGTTCTAATTTTAATAAATTTTTTCTTTTATAATCCGCATTTTTATGTCACAGGAGCTCAGTGTTCAAGACGTCATTGATTCTGACTATCCGGATATTTCTCGTCTGGGTGTATTACAAGGCGCTGGTGATGATAAACTCGGTCGTAAAGTGATTGTCTTCTCTGCATGTCGTCTACCAGCTTCCGACTTAATAGATCATCAGCGTTTACTTATGTAAGTCGTTTTTCATTGGTTTAAGTTTAGTGTGGTCCACCGAACGAGAGGGCTCTCGAGTGGTCGCGCCACAAGATGATCCTGCATACCGGTTTCGTCTCGCAAGAGGCAGGGACGGGTGTGTTTGGTTGTCTTGAAAACCAATACCCAGTCAATGGGTGTATCACTATGTGCGTCGGTGGCACAGTGGTTAGGATGCTCGCCGACCATGCACATGGTCCGGGGTTCGATCCCCGGCCGATGCACTCCTTTACCTCGCTAAGCCAGAAATAAAAGCTGGTAAAAGGGAAAGGTTGGGCATGAGGCTAGCAACCTCATCCTGTAAAAATAAACACTGCTAAAGAAACTTCAAGCCTCTAGCTTGAAGCCCTATGTTCCACTGGGAACGGGAAGGAATAAAAAAAAGTTTAGTGAGTGTAGCATTTATTTGAATTTAATACTGAAAGAATTTATGTCATGTATTTTGCGTCACGAAAAGCATTTCCATCAGCCCGTTGGAGCCTTTTACCAGCAACTACCTTCGCTCGATCCTGAAGATCAAACGGCTGACCAGAAACGATAAGCGACAAGGTACTCTGTCAGGCACAAACCAACTAGGAATTTATTATTTACTTAAAACACAGAACCTAGTACAATATGGCACCAAGAAGATGCGCCACACAATAATAATAAAACATTTGAAAAAATAGGACTTCACCTGGGAAGAAGGCAGTTATATTTAACTAGACAAAACAGCATTTGTCGAATTATCTTCAGAAATGCAAGAAAGAAGAAAATTGTAGTACGTTCGCCGTTGATTGCGATTCTTGGCCATATCCGATAACGTTTCGAGCCACCGATTCGACCTACCTCTCGGACCCCAATCAGCGAGTCGTGACGCACCAACCGATGCTAACCTACCACAAATACCCTTCATCCGACGACACCACGTCATGGGCTAACCACCTCTCCACTTTTTCCACCTCATCCTAGGGCTAACGGACAGAGTCCACTACAGAAGCCTTTGGGATGACATTCCTAGTACATATCCAAGCCACCGAAGCCAATGTTTCCAGATGATGATACTCAACGAATGGTCATCTCCTCTGTGTCCAAACACACGCCACCGGACCTCAAAATTACTTACACAATGATGTCATCGAACTCAAGCAATCCTACGGAGACAGCGAAGATAGAATACGCATAGTCGCCTCACATCTTCAGCTTAGACAGGCCGGGCGTAGAGCGACATGGCCCGCACCGAAGCATTGTAAACCCAGCCGTTGACAGCCAGGCTAACGTCGTGACGGCACCAGAGGTGGCTCGAGTTGATGTATGCCACCCTAGCCTTCATGATACGGTTGGAAATCTCATCCTTCACCCCTCCGCCAACCAAGTGGTAGAGCACGTTGACCACTTCACTTACTTGGGAAGTACCATCAGCCCCAACGGGTTGATCTCTGACGAAATCTCAGCACGAATATAGAGGGCTAGTATCGCATATGCCAGTTTACACAGTCTCTGGCGTAGACGTGACATCCGACTATCGACCAAAGGGCGTGTGTACTGCTCAACAGTCCGCTCCGTCCTCCTTTATGGCTGTGAGACCTGGCAATTGAGAGCAGAAGACATGAAAAGATTATCTGTGTTCGATCATAGGTGTCTGCGTTCTATCTCCCGTGTGAAGTGGTATAATAAGGTGAGCAATATTGAGGTTAGGCATCGAGTGCTAGGTAAGGCGGGGAAATCAATCGATGAAACTGTGAAATTACATCGACTGAGATGGTTAGGACATGTGTTACGTATGCCTAGTCATCGCCTTCCTCGACAATGGGCAATGTTAGCTGATATAGGGCCAGACTGGAAAAGAGCTAGCGGTGGTCAAATGAAAACATGGCACCAGTCAATGAAATTCACAACAGTTAGTCTAAGCCACGTAGGAAGGTGCAGACTTCCTGGTTGGGGTCCTCGGGACGGTAAAAACCAATGGTTGGAAACAATTGGTGACATGGCTCAAAATCGTTCTCAGTGGCGCAGATGCATCCACTCCTTGTGACTTATGATTTCCAATGAAACTGTTTTGTTCTCCGTTATTACTATACCTTTGTCTCACACCTCTGTTTACTGTCTATATTATGCAGTTCTTCTACTTTCTTCTCTTCCTTTGTGTGCTACAAGGAGGGAGTGTGGCGACTTGAACTGCCGCACATATGTGCAAAGTTCTATGTCGACCGACCGACCGCCAACCAAGATACACAAACTTATCAACAACTGCAAGTGGTTCACTTGCAAGTGTGAGTGCAGGTACAGTCTCCTGACAATCTTATAACAGTACCTTGCATTTAGACGGTGCAAAGCACATAACATACTTAAAGACACTGATCGCCAACTGATTAAGTGCGATTTGGGCAGCCTGCATGCTGTCGCACGATATTGTCTGCTTACTCGAGGTCGAAAAGTCTATCTCTAGATAGCAGATCTACACTACCATCACGCACATCCTTCAGAGCTGACTCCAGAATGTCATCGATGGCAAAGTTAAAGAGAAATGGAGAGATTGGGCAACCCTGTCTAACCCCACTGTTCGTTGGGAACCGTGATGATAGCTGGTTGTATGCCGCCGTCATCCTGAGGTATTTCTGTCTAGCGCTTTCAGGATGTTGACAAACTTCTCAGGTACATCCCTCTCTCTCTCTCCAGAGAATAGTTCCATCCAACAAATCGAAGGCAGCCCTAATACACAACAATTATTGGCCAGTATTACGTGTGGCGGTGTTCTAACAACTGACGCAGGGTGAACACATGATCAATACATCCACGACCTGAACAAAACCCAACCTGCCCTTCGTGAATCAATCCCTCACGTGTTTTACACAGCCTTCGAAACAAGACAGCAGCCAATATTTTAGACACAACTGGTAGCAGTCTGATACCCCTATGATTGTCACATGAATTACGTCGGCCTTTTTAAAGATGGAGACGATAATGGCTTCCTTCCACATTGATAGTACACTGTCAGTCTCCCATACCTTCCTGAATAATCCATCATGAGAGTCTCGCCACCATCTTTAAAAAGCGCCGGGTAGATTGTCTGGGCCGGGTGCCTTATAGTGTTTTAACAGTTGGAGTTCATTACGGACCTCCGCTTCGGTTGGTGGGTCGGTACTGACGGACCGAGGAACATTGGATCTAGTGACAGCAGATACTGAAGCTGGTGGCCAGCTAAACTGTTTTTGGAAATGCTCTGCCCAGCGTTACAGGCGTCTTTTCGGACTGGCAACTGGCGTGTCGTCTGCCTCACAGACCGTCTCGGTGACACCTTGTTTCTTGCTGCTGGTGGATCGGATGAGCTGGAATAGCTGCTTTCGGAGCTGTTGCCAGATGCAGCCGTTGACTCCATCGCACACGCACGTTCTGACCACCAGGCTTCGCGGTCCTTACGTAAACACTGTTTAGTCTTGCTCGTAAGCGCCTTTCGCTCATTGTTGTATTCGCTATCAGCCGGAATGGACTGTCGTTCATCCAGGAGTTGTAAGGAACTCGCAGAAATCCCGTGGTTCCCAGTGGAGCATTTTTGTAAGCTATTTGCTATTTGCATGACACCTTGCATATGTAGACAATGTTTATCTATACTTCTTGGAGGGCTTCTAGTAAGCACTGATTGTAACTCATCCTGGTATTTCAAAGAAGTAGCAGTTGCTCACATCAACATGTGGATGGCGCCGTTTATTACCTCCACCAAGTCGCTGAACAAACGTGGCATACACTAAGACATGATCGGAGTCCTAAAACCCGTCGGACGCCTTGGCTCAGAGGAGAAAAGTTTAGGTTCTCAATGGGGATTAGATTAGGATACTGGATACACCATCTCCTGCAGCTTTGCGTAGATCACAATCTATTTTTAATCTACATTGAATTCCGGCACAGTTATTATTTTGGTACTACCTGACGTCCTCCATCTGTCACTCATACTTACTTACTTTACTTCGGCTATATCCTACGGGAGGATGAGCGGGCTTCATGAACATCTCGAATCATCGCTACCCAGGCGCGGCGATCTGATGAAGAGAGTTCATGAAGTTTCATGGGAATTCGGTACGAGTGATGTCCCCAGAATCGCTCGGCCTTTTGTTTGAGAGTGCAGCTCTAGCCTTTACACAACCAAGTGTGACCTACAAGGCAGTAGGAGTGGAGAAGGGAGTCCACTATCCATTGGCAGCCGGTGACCGGAGTTTGGTTCATACGCCTTTTTGAATGGGGCCAGGCATCCAGGACATCCAACAAGCCCTTTGTCCATACGTCTGCCGGTGAGCTCCAGTGAGCTTCATACGACAGTCGTTGGAGGTTTGGAATCAGGGTTTAGCCATCTCCCCTAGACTGTCATCCAACGGACAGTCAACCCGGTGAAGAGCGCCGGGCATCCGCTTTCGCCCTCTCACTTTGGTGAAAGACACCTCCGCCACGTGAAGGCAGTGAGTAGGACTTCCTCAGGAGAGGCTATGTAAGACGCCCGGTCATATGGGAGCATTTCAAGAGGCGTGCGGAGGGGTGGCCAACCCGTCGCGCAAGGCACCCACCCCCGACTATCCTGTCACTCATACCTTGACTCCGATAGCTCACATTACTGCCAGTTAGTGACAACGTGAGTGTATAGAGTACTTCCACTTCTTCTGGAACACTTGTGTGGATTGTGATCATGCTTCTTGTGTGCCAGGTTTATCTTGTGATTTTATGGTGATCGTAAATATTGTTCTCAACAGGTGAATAACATAAGTCACTGTTACAACCCTTCTCCATTCTCAAACTGACTGACTAAGTTTCAACACAGAATAGAAGTGCAGTACTTCAGTTTGCCACAATCCGTAAAGCACACAAAGATAGAGAAAAGTAAAATTCAGAAAAAAAAACTATATTGAGCATAAATTTACAGGAGAAAGGATAGTAACACGGAAAAGTATGAGGGTCTAATTGATATTGGGGATAATGAATGCATCTGCGTAATTGAGAACTATTTTAACCTCATTACCAACAGTCTCCAGCAATTGGTTCTTAGCATCCCGAGACTCCCGACCAGGTAGTCTACACCCGCCCCCCCCCCCCCGTCTTGTGTGGCCCAAACGAACTGTCAAAGACTTCATGGATTGACTGACTTCATTGATTGATTGATCAAACCTAAATCTTTTCTAATCTAAATCCTGTAGTATAAGTTTCTCGTTCGTGCTAAAGTCAGAGTTGCTCCTCAATTCATTTGGAAAGATAGTACATTTGGCGTCACGAATTAGATTGAGGGAAGATAAGATACGGAGAATTTGATGTGAAATATTCGCAGTTTGAAATCGTGAAATATTTAAAGTGATTTGCATTGTCGTATAGTATGGTAATAGTTAGATAGCCTTTTTCGGTACTGCAGTAGGAAAGGGGCGTTTTTGTATTGTCTTCAAATCCTATTGGATGTTTAATCCTTGTACATGCCATAACGTGTCCATTCATTCAGAAGTTTAAGCTCTGGGATTTTTTGAACTAAGAAGACAACCAGTTCAGATTTAAATTTCGAGATCATGTGGATATATTGCACCTAAGAGACGAATTAGTGGCTTCTATCGATGAATTGAATTTGTGGTCGAAATTATTACCCGGAGTCGAAATTCAGATTTCACTAAGCATATTCTAAATGTTTGATATTCTCATTGTTATAAAGAACGTTAGTAATTCTAATTTGATGCATTTATTTGGTTCAGTGAATTCATCCATGGAAAATTTATTATCATCATTATTATTCCTGCAATCTAAGCAACCTTGCCAGAATCAATCAAACATGTGTTGCCGAACGTTTCGTATCCCCATGATTACTTTTGTGCAAAGGCTGCAACAACTGGCGTGGAATAATACTCTTGTCCACGCCAAATAAAATACTAAGCTGCGTCATCCTGTTGAGAATAAAACATGCACTGGATACAGAACTCCGCCAACCAGGACAAGCTGGATTCAGGAAAGGCAAATTATGTTCTGATCAAATTGCAACTCTACTCATCGTCATCACAGAACAAAGAATAGAATGGCAGTCAAACGTCACCCTGCCTCAACTTCATCGACTTCTAAAAGACCTTCGACAGGTAGCGTTGAGCGGGAGGTGATTTGGAAACTACTTCAACACTAAGTCTTTACCAACCTCATTCGAAAGTTGGCTATATGACATGTGTCAGGTGATGCATACCGGGGAACTCAGCGAGGCGTTCTAAGTGGAGACAGGAGTAAGACAAGCTGGTTGCCTATTATCACTGATGATTTTTTTAATTGTGGTGCACTGGATTATGCGTCAGACTGTACACAGGGAGCGAGGAGACAGGAATACGCTAGACGATCGATAAGAAGACTCTAGAAGATCTGGATTTCTCAGATGATATATGTCTAATATCGCACGAACTCGAAGACTTAGAGGCAGGCGCAGACCAACAAACTGGCTGAAGAGGGTGGCTGCCAGCGAAAACAGGACTGCGGGTGAATATAGAGAAGACGGAGGTGATGAAGATAACCAACGAACCGCAACAGCAGCAACAAAAACCAGTACCGATCTCCATTAACGGAAGAGATTTAACAGAGGTTACCTCCTTCACTTATCTTGCTAGAAAGCATCGTTTCAACTACAGGAAGTGGGAACGGATGAAGACATCAAAGTCAGCCAGAATCGGCAAGGCAAGACACGCCTTCATCAACCTGAAACCAGTTTGGAAATATTCCGCACTTAGCCTAAGGAACAAGATTCACATTTTCACTACCAGTGTCGATTCCGATCTTCTATATAGGTCAGAAACTTGGTCTGATAATCACCAATAGGATTTCCAACAGTTAGCGGCAGACTTTCATCAACATCTGCTTTCGCCGACTCCATACTGAAGATCAAACGACCGGCTGACCAGAAAGAATTAATAACAAAATACTCAGGCTGGCAACAAACCAACCAAGAGCTGACTGCTCAACAAATATGTTGAAGAAAATGGAGATGAATTGGGCATACGTTGAGGAGACCGTCGAATGACATCGCGCGCTAACCAAGCTATTGCTCGAGTGGAATCCAAATGTGAAGCGACGAGTGAGTCGTCCTAGGGTGACATAGAGGAGATCGTGTGAGGAGGAGATGAGAGAGTTTGGGCAATCGTGGACCCAGCTGAAGAGAACGGCAGAAAATAGGAAAAAGTGGAGATATGTTGTTGAAGCCCTGTATTCCACTCGGAACCCAAGGAAATAATAATAAAATGCCTACTTTTACCTTCATCTTATGAAGATCTGTCGGTCAACTGGCTTCAAGAAGGCTTTCACGAAGCAATGTTATCCGTCCTTGAATTGAAGAGTCGTCCTGATTCTACTCAAGAAAACAAATTTACTCTTTCTGTGCTCTGAAGTTTGGTTAGTGTTAGGGGGTGGGGTGGAGATGGGTGTTTCTTTACTAGGTTTGTTCGCTAACCCGATGTCCAATCTTCCCTCTCCATTGGCCTGAAAACCTACTTCAGATGTGCCGCTGACGCCTTATACTCCACTTGAAACTAAATTAATGGATAATAATATAAATAATAATAATAATAACAAAAATAATCGGTGTGAGACTACCTTGTTTGCAGAGTTATTGCTTCCTGTGATAGGTTTTCAGTATTATTGTTGATAATCTTATGATGATACCTTATTTTGTCTACAAACTCTTTTTCTCTCTGTTTCCTCTGAACGGTCGTCCACATATCCACTACACCACTTCTTGTCGTATATCTTACTTGTATCCAAGGTTAATGCCCATGCGACAATTATTACCAAACATTGTGACAGTCTTATTTTTGTTGTGTGTTAATCTTACTTGTTCGACTGAACTTTTAGGTGTATGTCAACATTTTGCTTATTATCACTATGGTTACCTCGATGTTATTATCAATGTAAGTTAGAACGTTTGGCTCACATGTACACACTTACTGTTATCCGATTCCCAACGGTTACAGAACAATTGTTGTAGTTTTCTTTCCCTGTTTTCAGTATTGTTACTATTATTTATTATTTCATATTGTTGTAGTAATTGCATGGAGGTTTCATCATGAGCTGACATCAGTTAGAGAACCACTAATTTATTTATTCTTTATTTATTTATTTTTTAAAATTCTCGATACCATTTAGGTATATTACTAAAACACTGGAACAATATGTCAGCATTGATTACTGTCTGATCTACTTTCACTTTGGTCTTTCTAACAAAAATCGACCAAAATTTAAATGGCTTGTTCAAGCGTACAGAACATTTGGACGGAAGTAAGCTAATTCTCTTGCCTGTGTATTATGTTAGAAAAGTTGCTATTTAGATTTTACAATGGTCTGAAGACTTTCTTTTTTCCTATAGTCGACTTTGTGTTTTGATACCCGGATTAAGTTGTTCTCTATGAACTGAAAATTTTATCTGTCAGTTTCAGGGTAGTTCACTATGCATTAAAGATGTTCAATCGTTACTGGGAGGAACCTGAAAGAAACAGCCTCTTTTACCTACCTGGGAAGCATCGTTTCAACTACAAGCGGATGGAACTGACGAGGATATCAAAGCAAGAATCGGAAAAGCAAGACAAGCTTTCACTACTCTCAAGTCTGTGCGGAGGTCAACAGCACTCAGCATCAAAAATAACATCCGGATTTTCAACTCCAATGTGAAGTCAGTGCTACTCACTATACGGATCAGAGACTTGGCCAGCGCGTCATAAAGAGCATCTCAAACAGACTACACGACTTCATTAACAGTTGTCTTCGCTCAATACTCAAGATCAGATGGCCAGCCAGAAAAGATCAGCAACAGGGAGGGATCTCTGGGAGCGAACCAACACAGCAGGAACTGATTGTGAAACAAATAGGCAGGAAGAAATGGAGGTGGATTGGCCATAATCTGAGAAAACAAACCATCAAGTGACATCACTAGACAAGCCGTTGCTCGAGTGGAACCCGAAAAGGAAGCGGCGAGTTGGTCATCAATGCAAGGGTGACTTGGAGGAGGTCATGTGAAGAGGAGATGAAAACGTGTGGGCAGACTTGGAGCCAGGTGAAGACTCTAGCAGAGTACCGCACGCAATGGAGACGCATGGCTGTAGCCCTATGTTCCTCTAGAAATTAAAGGAAACAATAATAATAATAGTAATAACAATCGTTACTGGGATGGATTCTTATCGGAATGGATGATTTCTTAGCCGATGCAGTAGCTTAAGTTATTTATGTTGCATTAGTTAAGGAATTCTATAGTAATCTGTAGTAAATTTAGAAGGACCCAACTTACGTCATCTCTGGTGTAGACGTGTGCACTGTACCTCACTTCGCTATGTTCTCTCTTTTACGGATGTGAGGCATGTTCATTGAAAGTGGAAGATGTATTCTAACTCACTTATTGATTGGTATAACATGGTGAGCAATATCACAATTAGGCGTATAGTTTGTTAGGTGAGGAGGGCAGGTCAATCGATGAGGTTATGAAGCTACATCGATTGATAAATTAGGACCTTATAGTCATCGACCTTTGGGAAAGTTGATTTTATGTTAGCTGAATCCATCAGCGGACGATATGAACTGACCTCAAGAAGAACTGTGCTCTCTTACTTTCATATCCAGTACTTCTCATATCGGAGATTTTATCAATGTGTCGCAACTGTTTTCATCTATACACGTTATGGGTAGCTGAAGGGTCGGTAGAACCATTAAGAATCTACAGTATGGTTGTTGAAACTCATTAGTAGAGACCAAACTTCTCTCTCTCTCAATAGTTCTGCCGGATTTTTCATCGTCCTCATTTATGACGTTTCTTAAATAAGAATAAAAATTGTCAGTCTCTCGATGCTATCAGACGTTAAGGTAGGTAGGTGGGTGATAACTGTGGTAGTGTCTATAATTCGTGCTACATATCAACGCTGATTGAACAGTGCTTAAAACTACGCTTTTGATTCAGGCCTTTTGAATGAGAATAATCAGACTATTGTAGTGGTTATTTCTTACCTATAGAAACTGGCTTGTAGACTGAATTCCAATAATAGAACTTTGCACAGACGTACAGCAGTTCAAGTCTCCACACACTTCATTTAGCGCACAAAGGTATAGAAAGGAAATGCAAGAGATTCAGTTATTGGTTTTTAGGGATTTGATCCAGGCAAAGTTCTACAACAGAGTCCCAAGGGATGCGAACGCACGAGTGACCTTGAGTCGACCAATCAGGAAAAATACCGATTTTTGCATAAAATTTTTCGTATATTTACATAAAAAAGCATATAAACACATTAAAGAGGATATTTTTCTCTAATATGAGATAAAGAAATCTCCCAATTTTGTAGGGGAGTTTCAGTTTTTAAATTGAACCAATTTCTATACATATATTCATCTAGGTGACTGAAAACAACTTTGTTTTGACATCCGTTGATCGCTCTGATTCTATTTTTCAGTCTTCCCCAGAAGCCATCGATTGAGTATCAGTACCGGTCTTGGGGTTGACGAAGTCATCGGAATGGTTGACTCGATGATGTGTATAACCCAGTTGCAATAATCGGTTGTATCTTGCCCATTCATCTGTGTGAATGGTGGTGCCTGGTAAGACGAGACGCTGAATAATAGGGAGGAGTGTATCAGCACTCCTATCTAGAATCAGCTCGATAAACCCTTTGCGAAGCTGGGTGTCATAAATTCCTAAAACCCAAACGTTATTCGCTCTGGCACGCCCTTTTTCTTGATAAGAACGGTTTCATCGATGTGGACGACTACAATGACTCCTACCAACACCTGAGTAATACTATTCATCTTCCACGAGGCTAAATCTCGACAAAATTGAAACCACTGCACAGTAGACGTCAACGTATTAGCTGTTTGAGCCGCATTAGATCGCACCCTGGACTTTAAAACCCAGTAATTGGACAGAAACAAGATATTCATCAAAGACAGTTTCGACTTTTCAAAGAAGGTTCCTAGAAGACAATTAATTCAGAGTGTCACTTACCAGTACGCACACTTATTCGCACTTGAATAATGGTAAGCTTCCTCAACCAATGACTAGCATGCGTTCAGGGTCATTGGAACATTTACAATCCTGGGACTCTATTCTTGTACTTCGCCTTGATTCATTGGTTACAGGATTTCACCATGAGCTGACATCGTTTAGAGAACCATTGGAAAACCACCTGAGAGTATTGCCAGACAGCTGTTTCATCCCACTAGTTTCGGACTCCGCTTCAGCAGTACGCACCTACCGGGGTTCGAACACAGGACCTTCTGGTTACAAGTCGAGCTCGCAAACCATTAAGCCACTGGGACCCGATCCAATGGTTCATGAATTTTAACTTCTGCCAGTTCACGACAAAGCGCAACTTCTAGCCAATGTCTTTGGCGACTATTTGTCCCCACACCCGACTTGCTGCGACCTGCTGGTCACGACTTCACACTAGAACCCAGATAACTACCTACCTGAATATGGCCAGTCGCTAGTGAGCATCTCATTGATATTCAAGTATTGGTTTGTAGGGATTTGGTTGATTGGTTACAGCATTTCCAAATTCAAGAGAATTATAATAAGCATAAATGAAATCAGAGAAAGACTAGAAACATGGGGAAAAGCATAAGGATTTAATGAATCTAGAAAATTACAAAGAGTAGGTTACATGTTGCACCATTGAAAACGATTTCAAACCATTTCTTTGGTAATCTGTAGTTCCCTGTCAAGTTTAGACATTCCTTCTTCAGTGAGGCTTTTTCTTCTAGTCTGGATGATATACGTGTTCACATACACATACACACGCGTGCATACATCACTGAATGCCCAAATGTGTGTGTTTTACAACTGCACACAATTGTTTCTTTTTCACTTATCTCTCTGTTCTCTTTCCCATATAGCTTTCGAAAAAATTTAAAAGCCCTCTACATAGTGCATCCCACTACTGGTGTAAAAATCCTATGGACACTGTTCAAACCATTCATCAGGTAATTTCAATTGCATTTCTTTTTCGTTTAATCCTTTTTTGAAAAACTAACTAACTACCTAACTACCTAGCTAGCTGGCTACTCAACTGGTTAAGCGTAACTTCATAGTCAGTTAGACACTTTTCATTTTGTCATCATCTGTGCATTGCTAATAATACATGATACTGACTTTGCCTTACTCATAGTACTTGAGTATCACGTGTATGCCTATACTTGATTATTCAAAAGCCAAGCATATTTGGTTGTCAGATGAGTCTATATATATCTATCTATCTGATATGTGACTCGTGAGGAATCTCTTGTGCCATAGTGTCTGTCAATCAACCAAATCAATCAGCCAGTCAGTCAGTCAGTCATTGGTGTTGTCTATTAGATGTCGTCAAATCCAACTCATCCACCCAACCATGGGTTTTATGTGCTGTTTGTCTCTTTCTATTGACATGACTAATTATAAATAAAAGGGGGATTAGCTTTCATTCTGCTAGTGAATATGAAGAAATGTAATCCTACTACAACTGTTCACTACACCACAGTCTTGTGTAAATCAATTCTAGGTGTTAGACCGACCGCAGAGCATAACTAACAATAATGGTTAAGTAATTTCTATTTTGCGTATAGTGGCATCAGGAAATCATAGCACTCATTTGATGTCTTTTAAGCGCAGGTTTGATGGAGCTTGGGGCCTACTATAATCGTGGTAAAGAACCCTTTGGCTTTGGGTTCGAGTCCGGTGCTGCTGATACCTAGAGAAATACCATGAGTCAATTGTTATTGATGTGTAGAGCCTAGAGTTCTCCAATCTTGTTGTTTGTGTATCTCCCCTACATGTTTTCCTAGTTCTAACTTCAGCCTCAGTGGACAGCGGTGATTTATGCTGAGCACACTTTTTGTAGTTTGAAAGCTGTAAAATAATAATAATAATAATAATAATAATCGAAGCAGTCCGGTTTCGTTACACTTTCTTGAATTTTAAGCTTATAAAGTGATGACGTAATCGGGCAGTGGGAGTGGAGGGTGGGTGACAATTAGTTAATGAGCTTTAGTAATGATACCAATGAATAGGGTTACCTGGGTATATTATAATCTCAAGCGTTTTTCATTCTGTTTATACCATTTCGTATTCCTGATTTCACCGCTAATTTTTTTATCCATTTCTATTTTTGTGGATGTACTAGAGTGGGAATATTTAGCCTTGTATATATCATTTGTGGTCATTTTACTGTACCTTTAAAAGCCTACTTTCTCTGTGTGTCTTTTTTGATTTTGCTGTTGGCTGATTTTCTTGTGCAGTAAAAGAGCTGAGGCTCATCAGTGTAGACGCTTGACTGCCAGTCGGTAGGTCACAGGTTCGAATCCCGTCGCCATCTACCGAGGTTGGCCAGCCAGGTAGTAAGTGTCACACAATAGATGCGGCTCATTTCTCCAAATGCATGGAATTACTTACAATTGGTTGTCGAGTAACATTTCATTTATTTTCACTTATCTAATTATCTCCCATTTATATATATGTGAATTAATCCCTGTCACACTGGTTAATGTATGTTGGTGTTTTCAGTGTTCTGTTTGGGTTTGATCCATTCATCAGATAACAGTAGCTGTTGATAGAAAAAAACACAACAACAGGAAATCAGTTGAATTCAAATTATTTCAACCTGACGTCTTTCCTTTCACAGTATGGAGATTTACAACGGAAGATGACTTCGATAGCCCATCTTCATTACATCGTGTTTTCTGCTGTCCTTTTTGGTTGTCTTCACGATTGTCTATATACTTTCACTTCTTCCTCACACAACCTACTGGATTTCTTGCTCGGAGACCGAACTCCTCGTTTCCTTCGGATTTCACTCTACCACTCGGAGAAGAGCTACCTTATCATACTACCAAGGAAGATTCTAGTATGGCAGTCGACTTTTTTTTACCTCAACTTCCTCGACTTTGGATAGGTTTTCGACAGTGTCGACGGCGAAATAATATGGGAACAGTTTCAAAGCCATGGAGTGCAGCGCCGCAAATGTTTATCAAACTCAATCAACAGGTATATGCTTAGGGCATATGTCAAGTGATTCACAACGGAAAGCTCAGCTCAGCCTTTTAAGTAAAGAGAGGAGTAGGACAAAACTGTCTGCTGTCACCGATCATATTCCTGAATGTAGTGGACTGTGATCAGCAAGGAGACAGGCGTACGTTGTACCAATAAGAAGATTCTAGAGGATCTTGATTTCGCTGATGATTTTTGTCTAATATCGAACGAACTCGAAGCTCTATACGCAAAAACTAAAGATGGGACTTCGGATAAATTTATAGAGGACTGGTGGTGAAGGTACTACAACAATAACAACAAGCACCAATCACCATCAGCAGGAGAAATTTTTGAAGGAAGTCACTCCTTTCACTTATCTTAATAGAATCCTTTCAACAACAGGCCGAACGGATGACTATGTCAGAGGTAGGGTGGTAAATAAAAAAACAGACCTCCACTAATCTGAAATTACTGTAGCAATCTGCTGCTCTCAGTATATAAGGAGAAAGATTTGGATTTCCAACACTAATGTCAAGTCAGTGCTCCTATATGGTTCAGAGATTTGGCCGGTCACCGAAAGCATTTTCATCAACAGCTATCTTCGCTCCATACTGAAGACCAGATGGTCAGGAAGGATTAGCGACAAGGGATTCTATCAGTCATGACCCACACAAGAACTGGCCGCCTAATAAATGTGTTGAATGAAACTATGAAGATGGATTGAAAGCAAACTGAAGTGACGGTTAATTGACATCACGCGTCAGGCAGGTCCTAGAGTGAAACTGGAATGGGAAATGAGGAGTTCGTCCTCTGAGCAAGTAATCCAGTAGGTTGTGTAGAGAAAAAGTGAAGGCATATGGACAATTGTGAAGACAACTAAAAAAGACTGCAGAGACTACTGTGAAATAAAAATGGGTTGTTGTCTAATTTCATTATAGGGATTTACTAGTCAACATCAAACATGACTCCACGCCATTCGTAACTAATTGTTGGCTACGTAAACTCATATGTAAAGCCTTATTAGATTGCGTTGCTTATTCAGTTGCAGCTAGATAGAAATGCTTGTTGTTGTGTGAGTAGATTTTTTATGATTGATTTTTTGTTAAGAACTCTTGGGGGCTTAAGAATGCTGACAGAATTTGGTCGGTCGATTGTCCTACTGTATGGTTCCCAGTGTTTGAATTGCAGTTGTTTCTCTAAAAATATGAGCTTTGCTTCAATGTATGCGTGTTAAGCAGCAGTGTGAATTGAAATTTGCGCTGACATCTCTGTTTTTATTCTTAGGGGAGCTGCCCATTATTTTTTACACTCTAAACATAACTGATGTGTGCTACGTCAGTTTGTTAGTAATAGACTGTTTTTTCGGGATTAGATAATTTCATCTAGATATGTCTTATTCAAAGAAGGTTACTAGTTGAGTTGTGACTAATTAATCAGTGGTCATTTTCTTTGTCGAGATTAATTTTCCCCTCACTTCGAGTAGTGTTGACTGACTAGACTCTCTGACGTGCGTCGAAACTGGCAAACTGAGGATGAGCTGGTTTTCGAACGAGAGAAACTGTCTTCCGGTATTTAGATCACTACATTCTCTCTAAGAAGCACTACTGCTTTGTGTGAGTAACTTCCAACTGCTCATATCACTCACTCAGAAGTAGATTATTATTGTCTCCTTTAGTTCCTAGTAGAACATAGGGCTTCAGCTGCAGGCCTCCATTACATTCGATTCTCTGTCAACGTTCTCACTTGGCTCCACGTCTGCCTACGTGCTCTCATCTCCTCTTCTCATGACCTCCTCCATGTCACCCTCGCGCTGACGACCATCTCGTCGGTTCCCATTCGGGTTCCACTTGAGCAATGGCCTGTCGTGTGATGTAACTTGATGGTTTTCTCAGAGTATGGCCAGTCCACTCCCATTTCTCGTATATTTGTGGCACAATCGGTTCCTGGTTGGTTCATTCATTTCCAGAGAATCCTGTTGCTGATCTTTTCTGGCCAGCCATCTGATTTTGAGCGAAGACAACTGTTGATGGAAGTTTGTAGTTTGTTTGAAGTGCCCTTCGTGACGCAGCGCGGTGCGGCACCACTATCTTGCTTGCATTCTTGATTGCTATTTATAGTACCAAGCAGATCACAGTATGTGATCTGAGCAGTTTTGGTTTTCAAAGGAAAACTATGATGGTGAAACATCACCTTGAGGTGTGTAGTTTGCCACGTTAATGCACTACTTAAATCGATTATCGCTGTGTTCGGCAAATGTTTGATATATGATCCACAGTGTAGTTTTATTTTACGCTAATGATAAACATTACCAAAAAAACACAGAATATTCTTTAGACTAAAAGCATTGTGAATACTATTATTTTTTTCTCAATACGTTCAGCATATTACAGAATGCTTCCTAAAAGTTAAAATTTTTTCATCCTCATTTCACATTCAGGAAGTGGACTGGTTGAACCAACCAATACTAGAGTTTTACTGGATTATATGTGTCATCAGACAGGTCACTCAAAGCAAAACACAAATTAATTTAAACACTATTCAGCATTAAGTATATATTTTCTCTCCATATATGGGACCTATTCATGGTGATCAGAAGAGACTGGAGTACTACTGGAACGCTGTGGGAACGAGCAAGCAGTTGACGCTTCTCTGTCACTTTTTGAAGTGATTGAAAACACACTAGGTAATATAACTGAAGATCTATCGGTGTGGTTGGTTGTTGGTTGGATTCATTCATGTCTTATCTTGCTGTAAACCATTAGTGTTATTTATATCTCTGCGTTGATCTTCTTTTCATTTGTATCTTTCTCATTTGTTTAAGAATCCAACTGCAACTTATGTTTGTCAGTGAAATCCATAACAGTTAGTTTAAGCCATTTAGGGAGGTGTAGACTTCCTGGTTGGGGTCCTTGGGATAGTAAAAACCAGTGTCTGGAGACAATTGGCGATATAGCTGGCTTAAAATCATCGTTCTCAATGGTGCAGGTGCATTCACGCTTTACGATGTGCAATACTTAAAAAAATTATATTGTTCTTCCATATTACTATTCTTATCCTCTCACACTTCTGTTTATCATCTCTTTTTGTGTTGAATCTCTCTTTACTCTCTTGTCTCGCTTTGTCTGCTACATTATATTATTATTATTGTTCCCTTGGGTTCCTAGTGAAACATAGGGCTTCAACTGCACGTCTCCACTTGCTTCTGTCTTCTGCTGTACTTTTCACCTGCATCCATATTAGTCCATACTGTTTCAGCTCCTCTTCACACGATCTCCTCCATGTCACCCTGGGACGTCCCACTCGCCGCTTCCCTTTTGGGTTCCACTCGAGCTATGACCTGACGCGCGATGCCACCCAACGGCCTCCTCCTCAGCGAGTGTCCAATCCATCTCCACCTTCTCCTGCATATTTGTTGAGCGATTGGTTCTTGTTTTGTTTCCTCCCACAGTTTCTTGTTGGTAATTCTTTCCGGCGGCCATCTGATCTCGAGCATAGAACGAAGATAATTGTTGATAAAGGTCTGCAACAGGCTGTTGGAAATATTCTGATCCGTATAGAAGAACTGACTGACTTGACGTTTGTATTAAAAATCCGAATTTTGTTGTTGGTGCTGAGTTGAGTGACGAAGATTTCCAGATTGGTTTCAGGTTGATGAATGTGTTTCTCGCCTTCCCGATTCTCGATTTGACATCGTCGTTCGTTCCTCCTGTAGTTGGGACAATGCTCCCTAGATAAGTGAATGAAGTAACCTTTTTCAAATCCCTCCCGTTGATGGTAACTCGAACTGCTGCACATCTGCGCAAATTTCAATTTTGAAACCAGTCATTCAGTATGTCAGTCTGTCTGTTAGAGATGAACACTGGCGTAGTCATTTGACTTTAAACCATTATATTCAAGACTGGAACTGCAACATGTTTATTGAATCGTAAACTAGAGATTATGAGTAGTATCACAAGTACACACTATTAATGCTGCTAATAGTTTATTACATGAAAAAATTGTTTGGTAGCCTTATTATATCATCATCATCCGTACTTCATAGTAATACTGCTTCAGGAGGTTTAACTACCATTTATTGAAGGCGGTTTGCGCATGATGTTTGATATAACACAAGGCTTATTACATTCAGCCTATCCTGCTGGTCAAAATAATGATTATTAAATGAGATGCACACTAAGTAGGTTGGTATTTTTATTGGCAGTAATCACTCTCCAGAAATCAGTAAGTCTGTTATAGAAAATGCTGGTGTGTTGTTGCCAATAGAATGAAGACGAATCTCAAGGACATTTTCGTAGGTGTGTACAGCTAGTAGTTTTTCCCCCTTCATTTCATTGAGAGTTCCGGATGGGACGTAAGGCTTTATGCTTTGAAGTCCCAGAAGTGGTAGTGGTCTTTGGTTTGTTATGGAGTGTGAGGTTTCTGACCTAACGGCCAACCTTCCTTCTTTCCCAGGCTTGCTAACCCGCAACACGTGCGTGGATGTCCAGGAGATTTACCTCTGAACCACCTACGCATCATCACTAGTAGTAATGATTGAAATTTAAGGATCAATGACATATATCACTTGACAGAAATATATCATTATTTCGAGATGTAAGTCTGCAGAAAGGAAATGGATGAGAGAGGGGAAGTGTAAATACTATTATATTGATCGTATTTTGTTGGGGTACTTATTCTGACATCTTCTCCAGTGCAAGGCAGTTTACGAGTAGCTGTGGAATATTGCTATGAATTGCTTAAATTGATCTCACCACAACTCGCGATAACACGGAAAGAAAAGGTTCATCTAGTTAAAATGAGTTAGAGAAAAACGCACTGTTGTACACAGTATACTTATTCATTACAAATTGGTTGGTCGACTACTACTCACTGCTGTTGATTTAATTTTTCACTTACGTGAAGTGGTCAACATGTTCAATTATTTCATTTCCCTATTGATGATTTCTGCAAAAAGTTTGCATACGTGACATGCAAATTAGACTCCACACAAGGTGTTCTGATAATTCTACATTTTGTCACTTTAATTATTGTGTTTGCTAACTCAGGAAGGAACTGCTATTGTTTTTACGTTCTTGTGCATTTGGCTCTACAGTAGAATACTCTGAAGAGAATGGTAGTGTCGATCTGTTCTACATCAATTACTTATCTTCTCTGGGTCAACCATTCTTACCTTGACTAAATTCTTATGTTCTGACAATCTGACTACTCCTGACCTACTAGTTTGACCTATGTAGTTGACCTCACAGTCATTGCAGTCATCTACAAAATACCCTGCAATGACTGTGAGGTCAACTACATAGGTCAAACTAGTAGGTCAGGGGTAGTCAGATTGTCAGAACATAAGAATTTAGCTAAGGTAAGAATGGTTGACCCAGAGAAGATAAGTAATTTAGAAAAAAGCTCGGCAATTGCAATGCATGCATTAACACACAACCACACAATAGGGTGGGAGAGGGTTAAAATTCTAAAAAGTAATCTAGGTAGGTGGAGAGAGAGGTTGATTACTGAATCTTTGTTCATCGAATCTACACCCAACACATCAATAGGAATGAATCATCACTAATACCCGAAATATGGAAAATAATACTACCAATCAAATCAAGTGAAAATCAAGTGAAAAACAATGGAACTATATAAATGAATTTAGGAAGTTGTGTGATTACCTTGATATGATTATGAGCAATAAATTGTGCTCGAAACGTCATCAGTAAATATTACTGTATAACACTGTGAGACTCTATCAAAATAAAATTTACCCATAATGGAATTACACTCTACCACAGTGCCCAAGTTTTATTCTTATATCAAGTAATAACACACTTGGACACAACTCTTTGAACGAAGTGCTGTTTTTATTTGTTGATTTATGTTCCGTTATTATTATTTTTTGGATTAGCATCCAGTCTTATGATAAATATATCCACTTTTTCATCGCATCAAGGACGACAAAAACTGGTATTTTGTCTATCCTTTCATACCTGAAAAATGGGATGAACGGTGTTTGCCAGGGCAATGCTGACAATCACACTTCGTATGTTTGCATTTATATATGTCTTCTCTCTAATATACTTGTATTTTCGTTTTTGAAGGCGACACTGGAAAGTGGACATTTGTTGTTGAAGTATCCCTGTTTCAGATTTCATCTCTCTCTTGCTTTGCAGTTTTCCCGTTTACCTTTCTGCTTTTTAAAAAAAAATTCATTCAAGATGTAGTCACTTAGTGATATTTTTAGAGTGTGGTCTGTTCCTTGAAGCAATTTTTAGCACGTAAGCAACAGTAAGTAGGATGTGTTGCTTTTTTATCAATATAATGTCGTATAGTAAGGATAAATGTTCTTTTCAATTACCTTTCTTCCGCTTTAATTGACGTGTAGACTTGATCACGTGTTTATGGTGTATATATTTCGTTTCTTTTTCGTTTCTTTTCCTAAATTTTCAGTTCCAAAATGTCGCACAAAGTAATCTACGTTGAACAGTTGTCAGGATTAGAAGAAACCTTATTCGTCGACCAGTTGCCAATACCACAGCGAGTTTTAAAGTAAGTCTATGTGTTGAATAATAATAATAATACGATTAGGTTTAGTTGTTTATGTATAATTTAAACACCAACTTAACTATTTGGTCAGTCTGATGAGCATTGGGACATTCATTCACGAGTCACACGTGGCGGCTATTGCAGTGTAATGCTGATTTGTTTAGCAGTAGTTGGGTCTTGTAGGTTCAAATCCTGACTCCCCACCCCCCCCCCAGGATTTTATTTCTTCTTCAATCATCATCTACAACTAGTACTATTGACAACCCAAGAGTATTTCAGGATGGTCCCACTATTGAATGTTAAATTGTTTGTTGTTAGTTTAGGCTTGCGTGATAGTATGTATTTTATAGCTTTCTGTAGTGACCAATATTAAAGTTAGGCATAGATGATATTTAGGTAGGGAGGGCAAGTTAAGCGATCGTGTTGGGAAAACTGAGTCTATTGAGATGCCTAGGACACTTCTTTCTTCGACGAGTAATGTTAGCTGACATAGGATCAGGTTGGCTGGGAGTTATAGGTGGTCAAACCAACACATGGAAGAAGTCGATAAAGTCACTGAATGTTGGTTTAAGCTATGTAAGGAGATCTAGACTCCCTTGTTTGGAAACTTCAAGATGCTTCGAACCAATGACTGGAAACTGTCGATGATGTGGCTCAAAATTGCTCTCAAAAATGGCTTGAATGCATCAACTCTTTATAGTTTCTTAGATCCATTAAATACTCATCATTTTCCATGTTAATATTCTTTTTCATGTACATTTCCACTCATCATACTTCTGAATTCCTTCTGTTCTTTTCTTTATCTTCGTGTGCTACATAGATTGTGGCCACTTTAATCACAGTATTCCTGTGCACAGTTCTAAACTGAAATTCAGTCAGTCATGGCTTTCTCTAGTTATTTTAACTGATGAAGGGAAATCGAAGAACAGTTGTTGACTATGTTTACTCAGGATGACTCTGCGGACTGGAATCTAAAGTGATCCAAATAAACTAGCTTTCATTGTTTTCAGTACAGTGACAGGATTGTTCACAATCAGGACATAAATGACATGCAACAGCTTTCTAGAGTCAGTTAGAAATACTGATAGTTAAATGTTTCTTTAGTTACCTGTGCACTATTTCACATTTTTAGCGGTAACTGGTTCATAATTTCACGTCAGCAAGTTGTTCACTGAAGATCCAGTTACATCTCACTGTATTCCCCATTTACTCAATACTGAAATCACTTTCTACTGAGATTTTCATCGATCAGTATTTTCAGGTGTTACTTTTTAAGGATTTGATGTATTTCAAAGTTATTCACGGAATGATATCAGTTAGGAAATCATTGGAAAGTAGGTAGTATTGAGCAGGTTTTTCGTCGTAGACTGAAATTCTTCAGTAATGCGCATTCATGACCCCACTGGGGGTCAGACCTAGGACCTTCAGGTTTCAAGGCAAGTTCATTGACCATTAAGTAACTGGATCCCGTTTCAGTGACTCATAAATCTTAATTTCTGACAGCTCGCCATTTCCAGTGGAATCGCCAATCTTCATATCCGACGTCGTGGACTCCATCGGTCATGATTTCTCACTAGGAATTAGAGTTTATGAATCATTGGATACCGTCCCAGTGAATGAATGGTCGTCGAGTCCGCCTTGTAACCTAAAGGTGCTGGTTTTAATCCCTGCTTACCTCTGAAAAGTCCCAAACAAGGACGAAACATTTGTCTACTACTCCGTTGCTTTCAATAGTTCATACATCGGAGTTAGTTCGTGCCCATTTGTCAGTGTCACAATGTGAACCATTAGTGTTATAACGGTTAGTTTGTAATCAGGAGTCATAAATACCAACAGCATTCCAGCGCAATATATTTGAATCATCAGACTGTATTTAAGTTCTCAATATGTCGCCATAGCACTTAGCTTAGCATTTATAGTAATTTATGTGTTTGTGTGTATCTGTGTAGTTTTTAAAAAAAAAACTTTCTACTTCTCTTATTTCATCCCCTTTTCTGTCTCTGTGGATTATCGACTGTCGATATCCCATGTTGTCCTACTTAAGGTTATTCATCTTAGAATATTTTTCATACTATTTTATTTCCCTTGCATGAAGTTAGAAAAATCAATTATGACCCAAAAACAGAAGCACTATATATATATATATATATATATATATATATATATATATATACATATATGGAGAGAGAGAGATTGCAAAGAGGAGTTTTTGGAATTCAAGGGTAATTCAAAACATAAGTGGAGATATGAAAAGTTATTCAAAAGAAAATAAAACAGGTCAGACAGAGATTGCAAAGTAGATGAATGCTTATTTCAAGAAGTTACACATCATAAAGAGTGAAGTAAGATTTTGATAATTTAAGATGGAATAGTTATATACTTGCTAGTCTAGTAATAAGCTTAGTAACAATCTCTCTTTTTGCATGCATAATTCAGGTTTTACTCTTCTAATGGGCACAAAGCTTCAGTAGATTAGAAGTAGTCGTGAAATGCCTTATATTCAAGTATTGGTTTGTAGGGATTTGGTTGATTGGTTACAGGATTTCATCATGAGCTGACATTGGTTAGAGAACCATTGGAAAACCTGGGAGTACTGGACAGCTGTTTCGTCCTTCAACAGTACGCACCCACCGGGATTCGAACCCAGGACCTTCTGGTTACAAGTCGAGCTCGCATACCATAGGGTCCTGGGTTCGAACCTCGGCGGATGCGTACTGATGAAGAGTCGCAAACTATGACGAAACAGCTGTCCAGTACTACCGGGTGGTTTTCCAATGGTTCTCTAATCAATGCCAGCTCATGATGAAATCCTGTAACTAAATGCCTTATCTATTCATCACCTTAAAACAGTTATCCAGCTATGGCACTTTTATACAACCAAACTGGGACTTCAGGAAGTAGATTGTTATTCAGCATCTGTTCAGTAATAGTAGTAGCAGAGACAACTGTGTCTCCCTAATACTTGCGAATTCGTGGAAACCGTTCGAGTTAGCGGCAGTCGAATTCTGGTGTCGTCATGTTTCAGCCAGCTATAGAGTTATGACGTTTATAAAGGGGACTGAACCGGTTGCATACACACACACAGACAAATAGACTCTTGGGAATGTGTTTAGCAATCCTCGTAGACAACTGTGTCTACCTTATTCCAGAGCACTGGCTACCACATGTTACACATGGAATTTCTTGAATACATTTGCCGCTAACACGAGTTGGAAATTGGTGTAGTTTCAACTGTATATACTTGAAAAAGTTGTTTCACACACGAGAGAGATTGAATATTTTTTTATTCATTTGACAATCCTTTCTCTTGAAATAGACCGGACCGTTTCTAGTGTTACTACGATTTTCTGTTGAATCGATGATTTAGTAGTGGCCTGCAAAATATAATTGTGCATTCTGCTGCTAACTATTTAAGCGCTTACTCTTACTATATTGATTACAATACATATATAGTGTCTCAAAATGTATTTTACTATCTCCAGTGAAATCTATTCACATAATAATAATAATAATAAATAATAATAATACTGCATATTCTCTCCATTCTCTCATGCATACACAAGCTGTTTGTATTTTGTAAATAAATAAATAAATACAAAGTGAAGGGTGTTGTATTTCAAATAGGATATCAGGTCCAGATTTATTATCTGTCTATATAGTCTGTGATAACAATTTAATTAAAAAGTGTAATATACGTGTGTGTGTGTCTGTTGATATATATAAATATGTTAGTTTATATTTGTTGATGATTTAAATGATACTCTGTGAATGATGCGAACGGAAATCAGTCGACGTGTTTTTGTTGTCTATCCAGAATACAGTCTAGTGTGGCTAGTGTGTGTGTGTGTGTATGTTTTGCGACTATGGGTGTGGTGACTATATGGGTTTTGCCATTTCAACTTGCCGATTACTAGTGTGTTTAGAATAACTCAGTGGTGTGTGTGTGTGTGTAGGTACTTCTGTAAAAAACTAGTTCTATTGTATATATATCCTCATCAACTTTCTTTCTCATCACAGTGAGCCCTCAATATATATATATATATATATATATATATATATATTTTACGAGTTGATCACGGACTGATATCAGTTAGAGAACCATTGAAAACCAGGGAGTACTGGACAGCTGCTGTTTCATCCTAGTTTGGGAGTCATCGGCAGTAGGCACCCACTGGGATTCGAACCCAGGACCTTCCGGTTACAAGGTAAGCTCGTATACCATTCAGCCACTTGGGTCGCGCTAAAATCACGAATTGGTAGAAGTTAGAATTCATGAGCCATTGAATCGGGTCCCAGTGGCTGAATGGTATACGAGCTTGCCTTGTAACCAGAAGGTCCTGGGTTCGAATCCCAGTGGGTGCGTACTGCCGATGATTCCCAAACTAGGATGAAACAGCAGCTGTCCAGTACTCCCTGGTTTTCAATGGTTCTCTAACTGATATCAGTCCGTGATCAACTCGTAAAACATAACTAATCCTTACAAACCAAACTATAGGGAATATATATATATATATATATATATATATATATATATATACATATATATTGGTTATCTTTGATTGGTCACTAGAGGTGGAGCACTTAATGTTCCTTGCGTGTAGTCCTTCGTTTGATTCAGACTGAATTTCATCAATTAGGTTGGTTATCTGTTGTTGTCTTACCTCGACTTCTTTTGTCTGCAAATTGATCCGATTGGCTACTCTGATCACGGCAGTAGTAGAAGAGGCTACACCGTACAGCTAATTACAAACTTTTTTTTTATCAGTAGCATATATACTACACCGGGTTATAGGCTTAATTAATGTGACCGACCAATATCGCCAGTAGCAGCCGGCATAACATGAGTGACTGACTGTCTGGTATATTAAAAACCTATGGCGGTCAATTGAATTTCACATGCACACTTTGTTTACATGCTCTGTACACTGTCATTTATGCATTGGACATTTGTTTATCATTCTCTTTGAACATTTATGTGTCAACGTGTTCAATATTCTGTCTGACAAACTTTATTTTCAAATCTGTCTGGGTGTGTGTTTGTCGTTTTGTAGTTTTATTATGTATATATAAAGACATTTGTTGATCAGTATGTTGTATGTGGGTGTAGGATGCTGATTTTTTGCCATAGGACTGCGGTTCACTGCATTTCAAATAAAATGCAGTTGACACCTAGAACACCAAAACAATATGAGGTGTTTTGATAGTAATGATTGTGTACTTTGAATTAGAAACAGAGGTTGTCGTCAGTGTAAATCATACGTTGAGTGAAATTCACTATTTTCTTGATGCGATAAATAGGCAATAAGGCAGATCACACAATATTTTTCATTTGAATATTTTTAGTTTCTAAAGAAAACTGTGTTGATTTATCTATCACCTTGATCTGAATAATTTAATAATAGTAAGAAATCCGATACTACGTATTGCTTGGTGTACCAAGTAAAGCTGACTAGAATTTGTCTGGTTTGAACTGATTCCCAGCTCTCTGAACTGAGTCACAGTGAGGGAACCGCTGATAAGCCTGGCCGCAGAATATGCGGAGCTGCCTCTGTCCGTCTGGCTATATCAGGCACTACTGGGTGACACGAGTGGTTTCTAGCTACTTACATCAGTCAGTAGTAGTAGTAGCAGCAGCAATATATACATGCCATCACGCCAAAATCAAACTTTAGTAAATATGGTTTTCCAATGGTTCTCTAACCAATGTCAGCTCATGATGAAATCCTGTAACCAATCAACCAAATCCCTATAAACCACTACTTGAATATCAATGAGATGCTCACTGGCGACTGGCCCTATCCAGGTAGGTAGTTATCTGGGGTTCTAGTAGGAAGCTGTGACCAGTTGGGGTGCAGCAGATCGGGCGTGAGGACAAATACTCGCCGAAGACATTGACTAGCGGTTGCACTATATCATGAATTGGCAGAAGTTAGAATTCATGGCCTGGCCATTGGATCGGGTCCCAGTGGCCTAATGGTCTACGAACTCGCCTTGTAACCAGAAGGTCCTGTGGTTGAACCCCGGTAGGTGTGTACTGCTGAAGAGTTTCAAACTAGGACGGAACAGCTGTCCAGTACTCCCAGGTTTTCCAGTGGTTCTCTAACCAATGTCATCTCATGATGAAATCCTGTAACCAATGGTTAACAACTATTGTAGATTGAAATAAATACGATGATTGATAATTGAACACGCAGAGTGAATGTCGTTCAATAATCATGCATATTAGTAAAGTGTTGAAGATGTCATTTTCTGAAGCAACCATATGCCAGGTCATCATGTGGATCCTGAATGCGAAAAGATGAGGTGAACGTCGGTCCAAGGATGGCATGGAGGAGATTATGGAGGAGGATGAGGTAATAGCTTACGGTCACTCATTGAACCAGCTTAAAAGGACTGCAAAGAACAGAGTTGAAACGGCGATATACAGTTGAGTCTTCGTCTTCCATTAGGAACCTAATTCATCAGAGTAGCTTGAATGTCTTACAGAATAGAGATATGAATGTTGAAAAATTTCATCGTGTGTTCACATTTATTGCACATGCACATGCGTGAACTATTCTTTTTCTCTTTATAAAATATTTTAGTTATGATAGAACGATCGCTAAGTCCATACCAGTGAAGCCTATTCAACCAGTTCAGAAAGAGTAAGTATATATATATATATATCTTTCTATAAAGTATAATTTTATTTTGTAATTTTCACATTAAATTCAGTTCTTATAATCAAGGAAGTTTTTTTTAGCTCAAGTGAGTGTTTTTTGGTACTGCTGTTTGTTCCTCAGTGAGTTCCATCCAACATCCCAGTCGTTTATCTAAAGGGTTAACTTAAGTACTGTCATTCTATTTACTATTGGCAGTTTACAACCTCTTCGGTGTCCACAGTAATGAGACTTCTAGCATCTATGGGTTCGGATAAAGCAATAGAAAGCCTTTGGTGTTAGGTCATCAATTGCCTGTTTCACTTTTTCGACAGCTGACTTGAAATTATGCCAGGCTTCCTCAAGTTGGGTCTTGCTGTCAACCTCGGATACGTGTTTAGTTGTGGCTGTGGCTGGTGGTGGGCTTCCCAGTTGCTTACTTTCAATCCTCACTGAGTCGTGGGATTGGAGTTTACACAGCTGGTCGATTTGAATACATCCTTGATTAGATGATGGAGGCCGTCAAGTGAGGCAGTGCACGAAATCATTATCTGAACAAAATAGTGTAGAAGACGATGAACATCATCGGTGTTCGTCGGCTTGAGATTGCGTAGTTTCCAACAATTTACTTTTCTGACTGACACAGCTTCCCTACTTGAGTTGAGCATGGAAATCACCTGCTAAAATGACTGTATCTGAGCATTTTGCTTTTAGAAATAATCTAGACAACTTTTGGCATAACTCATCCTTCACTACACCCGAACTGCAATCGGTTCGGTTAGGTTGCAAACGGAGATAGTGAGCAGAAATCAAAGGATATCAAAATACCGGCTTTTTCCTATGTGTCCATTTGAGTGGACAGTATGCATACGACAACTATTTAACAGGAATGGAAACACGTAGTGTTCCCCCCCCCTCCAAGCTTTCAGTGCTGCTTCTATGTATGCAAGATCATGGGAACTAGCTAAAGAATTTTCCGACACATTTTTACCAGGTGGGGGGCTAAGTGAACAACAACGCTTGTGTCTTGCGTACAACACAGCATATCATCCATGATATACAAGATAACTGAATATGAAAATATATGTGTATATGCAGTATACAATGGTGTGTGTGCATCGCTGAACAGTTGTAAAACATTTGATAGCTACTCCATAAAAAGATACAGACAATTGGGAATCTTGACCAGGTATGATTAATAAGTGATACAAATCCATTTTTTATTTATTAATCAGGATTTGCCATGCATCAGCTTAGATCACACCACACCTTCACGTCTGTTCAAACTGTTGGGATTCAGCCATATATGCAAAGCTTCTGCAGTCAGTCTTTCTTTATACCAAACCAAAACCTTTCTGTAGAACCTTAGTCCTATCAAAGTCGATTTTGTATCCCATTTCTATCGAATGCAGTGCAATCGCTGATCTGTTTTCTAGCTTCCTCAAGTCTGCAGAGGTCTTTGGAAGCAACACCTTCAAACATTGTTTATGTTCTTTCACTCTTATATTTACCTGTCTGGAAGTTTCTCCTAAATATACGGCGTCACAGTCCCCACAATTCATCTGGTACACACATTTCTGTTAGTTTTATTTTTCTGTTTTATCCTTAACCTTCACCAGTGTTAAGCGTAAGGTGTTAGTTGCACGAAAATACACTCTTATGTCATAACGTTAAGGATTCGCCTTATCTCATCCGATGTTTATTTGCGGTAAGGAATCACCGCTGTATTAACCCAGGTTTCGATCCATTCTTATCTTCACATTCTAAATATCTTTTATGAAGGCTTTAGAATAATTATTTGATTCAAGAGTGCATTGAACCAACTTTAGCTCCTTGCTAATCTCTTCCTTCTCAGTAACTAGACGTTTAGGTCAGCTAATTAGATTCTTGGCCGCAATTACTTTGGTGGTAAAGGGGTGTGGTGAACATTATCTGTCCGAATTTGTCGGCTTTCTGAAAATGTTTATTTTAAATTTACCAGCTAGTTTTCTTTTTACTAAACAGTCCAGGATCACCAAATCATTTTCGTCGGACTCAACCTCTTTGGAAAACTTTATGGTTTCCGACATATTGTTTATTAAGTGAGAAAGTTCATTCAGCAAACTACGTCTGATTATGACGAAGGTATCATCCACGTATCTTAACCACATTTTCGGAGGACTAGAGCATCTCATAATTGCATTTGTTTCTAATGACTGCATAAACAGATTGGCAACTTGCGGAGATACTGGTGATCCCATTGCAATGCTTTTTGTTTGTCGGTAAAGAACCCCTCTAAATGTAAATAACGTGGAACGTAGACACAGTTCCAATGCCTTCATAATTTCATCTGGGTTTCAAGGACAACGACCACTGAGTTCGTCGTCAGAACAAAGTAAATTATAAATAATGCTTAAAGAATCATTAATGGGAACATTTGTGAACAATGAATAAACATTGAAACTTACCATTACTTAATCTTCAATATGAGTCAAGTTGATTTTTCTCTTAAATTCATACGAATTCTTCACTCAATGGTCAAATCTTGATCACAGTTCATATGAATTTTACAGTCTATGTGAGTAGAGGAATTCAGTTAATCTATAGAAAAGCAGTTAACAACAAAACTGTATATATGAAAAGTTTTTGGAATGATCAACATGGTCAGTTAGATTAATTCTGCGGTCATTGTTATAAAGGATATACGATAGAGTAGTGGTCGTAGTATATTTAAAATTTACCCTTTTAAAAGACAACAGAATATTTTTGTATTTGATTGTTTCGTATATTTCTTTTTAGTTATGCTTACAAATTCACACAATTTCTAGTATCCTATTTTGGGTTACTGGGGTAAGCTATGCTGAAGGCATTTTCGAGTAGTTAGTTATATAATCTAGTCGCCATTTTGTGCTGTGTCAAATTGCAGACATTTCTGGGGGATAGCAAAGATATAGATATATGTGCATTAACTGTTGTTAGGTAGTGAGTGAACTGTACGAGGAAAAACAATTTTCAACAAACTTCAGGTAGTAGAGACGTGTTTCTCTGTGAACTTATTTAAAGCCAGATCGATTGATGAGATGAAAAATGGTCGTTTTTCTCATTGGCTTAAGTGGCTAACCTTTTTTTTTACTGATAGTTTCATAGACCGACCTCCTTCCTTCAACACCTGTATCCAATTGCTTTGTTCGGATTGCTGATGTTTATTGATTTCCTTTATTCACAGTATGCTTCAGCAACATTTAGTCGTCGTGCCTTCTTCATAAGTAATGAAGTCAGGTTTGGGGTTGACAATGCAAAAGTATTTAGCGCTATAGATCCTCAGGTGGACAACGTGAAAAACGGAGTGAGGAGGTTCCATTTATTCTCCTATGACGCCTGAAAAACTTGAGTTTCTACCCTACATCAAGTCTAACACTTTAGCTACATCAGTTCCAGTGGCTTGCGATGCAAGAACTCTGCACACACACACACACTTAAACCACCCTACCTCTCCGTAAATAATTGTTTGAAAAAAGTGTTCTATAACAAGCTTTGTTCTTTGCATTCTATTGATATCACACTGTTACTGATACAACTAATGTTTTCTTGTGTATTACAGTTCAGTTTCTCGACCGTCTGTACCATTTATACCGCACATACCAGACGCGGCTTCAGTATTCTCAGGAGTATACGAAGAACAGTGTAAAGATGTCACACCAGATCCTCAACAACAGTTCAATGTCAGTTTACAATTGTAAGTGTGTATTTCTTTTTGTAGTCTATCATATAATTCTACTCTTCTCCCCTCCCCACTTCATATAAGATATTTATGTCACTTTCTTTGCTTCTTTTTTTTAAATAAAATGGAATAATTAGCATTAAAATGAATAATGGAGGTCGTCCTATCCCCATAGTCCTTGAAGATGCCATCGATTATATTCGAGATCGTGGTGAGTGCAGTCATTTTGTGATAATAATAAATTCAGTATCTAAGGCCTTATTAATTATTCGTTTACTTGGTGTGTGTGTGTGTGTGGTGATTGGTATTTGAAGGTTGAAGTGAAAATCTGATTAGTGGTGGGATTCGAATCAGCGACTCTACCGGCAGTTGATGATGAGCTACATGACCCAACTACTATTTAAGTCATTGTTTCGCTGCAAATGCCAAAAGTAATTATTACAATAACTGTTACGTTGAAATTGACGATTTTTACTGAATGGAATATTTTGTGTGGTATACAATTTTCACCTCGACTGCTAAATGTCGTTTCATTTGCGGTCGGTCGGTCGGTCGGTTTTCGACATAGAACTTTGCACATATGTGCGGCAGTTCAAGTCGCCACACTCTATGTAGCACACAAAGGAAGAGTGGAAAGTAGGAAAAATGCATAATAGAGACAGTAAACAGAGGTGTGAGAAAAAGGTATAGTAATAACGGAGAACAAAACAGTTTATTTGAAAATCATAAGTCACAAGGAGTGGATGCATCTGCACCACTGAGAACGATTTTGAGCCATGTCACCAATTGTTTCCAACCATTGGTTTTTACCGTCCCGAGGACCCCAACCAGGAAGTCTACATCTTCCTACGTGGCTTAGACTAACTGTTGTGGATTTCATTGACTGGTGCCAAGTTTTCGTTTGACCACCGCGCTAGCTCTTTTCCAACCTGGCCCTATATCAGCTAACATTGCCCGTCGAGGAAGGCGATGACTAGGCATACGTAACACATGTCGTAACCATCTCAGTCGATGTAATTTCACAGTCTCGTCGACTGATTTCTCCTCCCACATACCTAGCACTCGACGCCTAACCTCAATATTGCTCACCTTATTATACCACTTCATTTGCACATCGTAGTGGATCCTCGAAGTTGGATTTTATCATTTACTCTTTGTACTTCTCTTTGCCTTGTCCTTAAATAAGTAGGTTGACTATATCTGGCCCTTACTTTGATAACATCAGTTTGGTTGTTGGGCTACATAGGTTGTTGTGAGTCGTTTCTTTCAAATAGTTTATTGGTTTGTTAGATTCTCAGCCTGACGTGATGGTCGAGCTTGCATACCAAAATGACCTGTAAAGCTACACTGGCTGGAACTATTGTTTCGACAGGTCCTACCATGCCAGGAAGGTTGTTAGGATGGCGATTAGACTAAAAGCAGTTACCGGCGTAGTGTAAGAATATATTTTACACAATGAGGGGTGTCTGTGGGCAAAGTTATATTGCTGGGGACCAGGGATGTAACGGCAGTGAGGTGTTTCCCTCGGACGGCCAGCGTGCCAACTATGCTCTCTCCACTCTGGAAAAAGGTGATTATAATTCTACATCCCAAATTAACCTATGGTAGTCCGTAGTTGCCGGTAAGTTACTAATACGGAACCAAACCTAAAAATCAGTTCAAACAGGCCGTATGTGACTGGTCTCAAGCAGTTTTCCCGTGGGCTCTGCGGTCAAGCAACATTAACTCCCTTCTTGTTTCAGACACCCCATGAATCAATCAATTTCCACTGTGTGGGCAGTCGGGAAGTAACAACAGTCCACACGCTTCCAAAAGCACACGATCATCATTATCCTTTATCCCTGTCACCCTCCTACCGTTAATGCTATTTTGCAAGCTGGTCAGTCATTTTCACTTCACTCTGTGACCACAGACAACGATGAGAGGCATAGGAACACCCCCCGATAGCCTCTTAGAGTCACGTCGCCAACATCATATTGGAGCATTCAACCTCAGGACTCTGTCAAATCAGGCAACAAGCATCACTAGTAGGAACTCTAGTGTTCGAGCCATGGATGTATCTTGTGTTCCGGAGACACGTATACAACACTCGAGTGTGGTCATACACTCAACCTCACTCGGATAACAAGTTGAATCTGTGAAATCCAATATAAGGTTGTCAGGAGACTCCTCAGTCTAGTCTACGAGAATAGCATTAAATCCTACGGCCGGAAAAGTCACTTCTTGACTGGATCCCAGTAGGTAGTCGTATGTGTGTGGTCGGTCTGAAAGGGTCCGTTAGAAGAAGAAAGGACGGCATTACCCGTCATTGTCTTCTCGTAGTCTCCGCTTACGCACCAACAGACTGCAGTTCAAATGAACTAAGGGACGACTTCTACTAGAAACTGTCTAATATGCTGCGAAAAGCAAAACGTTCAGGTATAGTTGTTTTAGCAGGCGACTTCAACGTCCAAATAGGGAAGTTGTGCTAGACTGAGAGGTATACAGGTGGGAAGTACGGTGTTCCTTGCCGACGAACCAGCAATAGTAATCGCCTTCTACAGTTCTTCTTATTAAATTGGAGCAAGAATCACAGGTCGTGATCCGAATAGTTAGGCTTCGGGAGCTTATGATATAGTTATACAATTAAATTGAGATTATTTGGATTCGTTATCGGTCTTAGATGATTTATGTCTCATTTTGAACAAACTCAATGATATAGAAAGAAAAATCTACAGTGTGGCTGAAGAGGTAGCGAATACAGGATTTCAAGTAAACAGTAGAAGTAGAAATGATGCAGTTAACCAGTCAACATCAGTAGAAATCTAGAAGAAGTTCTCTGTCATATATATGGCAGTGTGCTTCCAACTATGAGTGGTGGCACTCATAAGGATGTAATAGCCAGTCAGTATCTGATAGGGAAAGCCAGCCTAGCGTTTACTACGGTAATTAGCACATGCAACAAGATAAGAATTTTCTGAACTAATGTCAAGTCAGTGCTTCTGTTATTGCTCAGAGATTTGGCGGTTGCGTCAATGAGAAAGCATTCCCAATAACCTGCTGACTTTCGTCAACAGCTACCTTTCGGTCGATGGCGAAAATCAGATCGCTGCCCAGAAAATTTAAGGAAGAATGCACCCTGACAGCGAAGCAGCTAAGAAGAATCGATTGTCCTACAATTTAGATGCATTAGACACATGTTCATGCGACCGTTGGTGTTGAGTGATATCCCATGCCAGGTAGTTACTCAAGTTGAAGATGAATATGAAGAGACCAGTGGGACGTCCAAGGGTAACATAAAGGAGATTATATGTGGATTGTGGGCAGTGTTAGAGGCGGGTGAAAATGATGCCAGGAATTAGAGTACCGTGAAGATGTGTCGCTGAAACCCTGAGTTCCAGTCGTAACGCAAGGATTTAATTTTAGTATTATATAACTTAGTGTGTATACTAAGGATGCGTTTATTGCGATGTATGTACTATGTATGGCCTTTTTGTGTTCTTTTCTGTCTTTGAACAAAGCCATTAGAACCCATGGAGTGGGACAAAATGAATCCCTTGTTTATTTCCTCTGTATCTTCTCAACCTGAATTAGTATTATTATTATTCCCTTGCGTTGCAAGTGGAACATAGGGCTTCAACAACACATCTCCACTTTGTTCTGCTTTCTGCTGACCTCTTCATCTGGGTGCGAATTGATGGAAATCCTTTTCGTGACATGCCCACCAAGTTTCTGACCCGTATAGAAGCACTAACTGACTTCATATTTGTGTTGAAAATCCTTATGTTGTAATCCATCGTGAGGCTGAGTGCAGAAGATTTCCAAATTGGTTTCAGGTTGGTGAAGTCGTATCCTGCCTTTCCGATTCTGGTTGACTGGCTGTAATATCTGAGTGCCTGTAGTTGAAACGATGCTTCCTAGATAAGTGAAGGAAGTAACCTGTGTTAAATCTCTCCCTTTGATGGTGAATAAAACCTGAATAGTGAAAGATAATAGTTTTGGTATCATTACAGTTTCGACATACTTTACCTCTAAGGTATGTCGAGCAATAATTAACAATAATCATGGTCTACAGACGAATGGGAAAAAAGGGTTAAGTTAGTGAGATATCAAATTACTGCTCTACTTTATGTATAGTGCAATCGAATTTTTTGACTAAAAAAGTGGAAAGCAACGCTAACAACAAGATATTGAGGTATATAAATTATAAGGTTATGTAAGTCATTAAAGAATTGTTAACAATCAAACGACAAAGTACAAATAACATAGTGAGTTTAGTGCGTTTAGTAAGATATCAGACATATCAAGCACGACTTTTAACAGGTGATCATGTTACCTAGAGTGGACAGAAATCAATCGTTGTGTGTTAGCCATACCCTCTGAGAATCGTCAGAGGCTTAAAATGCTTATTGGTTTATTTTAAAGGAATTCGACTTGTCTCCCTGATGTCCATTGTCAGCCAGACGTCTTGTGGCTTACTTCCTTACTCGAGCATTTGCTCACTCTTATTAGCAGACTTTCCAGTGTGTGTGTGTGTGTTCAGATATGCCTTTCTTTCTGTTCTTCCCATGTATCTGCTTCGTCTGCTACACAGCTAAAGATGACTTTGCGAATATGCTGTTTCTGTTACACACAGGAATCATCCACCTAACCTCATGGAGTGTCTTTTTCTGTTGGTTATCCTTGGAATGTCGTCACATTTATATATTTTAGGTGGATAAATACAGACATTTTGTTCGTTGTGGTATGTTTTATTCTTTCTTTTTGTAATCTCTGCGGATACCTGCTGTTGTCTCGTAGATACTTTTCTATGATCCACATCCTCTTCTCCAGTTTGTCACTGGTGCATAGCATTCTCGCGCTATGAAATCATGTTTTGACTAGTTCACGCTTCTAGTTGATTGGACAAAAGCCGTAAATCAATATCTTGTCGCTAGCCTTGTTCCTCACATCTTGTGTTTTTTTTATATTTGAAAGACTTCAGTGACCTTACATATATGAATGAGCAGAGCGGTAATTTTATATTTTACTAACTTAAAATTTCGATTCATCTATGCAACATTTTTATTATTTTTGTGTTCCCTTGGGTTCCCAGTAAAAAATGCGGTCTCACACATGGGTCGAAGAGATATCTTCTTAGCTTCACTTCTAAGCTGTACAATTATTTAGGGGTTTTGTATACACAATGTATGTTGACAACAGAGGTCAAAGGTTATTGTCAGTTATACTAACAAAGTAAAATCAAAGTGAATGTGACTCTTAAGTAGCACGCACTCATGACTCCACTAGGGGGGGTCAACCCTAGCGCCTTCTGGTTACGAGGTGAGCTTGTAGACCACTATCCATTCAGCCACTGTCCAGTACTCGCTGGTTTTCAATGGTTCTCTAGCTGAATTCACTCCTTGATCGTCAATCTTGAAATAACATCTCTGCTGGTGACACATTAAGAATTTGATTGAGTTGTGGAGGTGGTTGGCAAATATGTAGTATATGTGTCGTCTGTATAAGTCATAAATGCGCTTTCACATTCAGTAGTATAATCTTTAATTACTTTGTTAATACTTCCTAGCAACAATATTTTATCATTTTTGTATTTTTTTTCGTCCCTAACCATTTGACTCCACAGGTTTGACGACAGAGGGGATATTCCGTCGTTCTGTCAGTTTGAAACGTTTACGAGAAGTACAGAATTTATATAATAATGGTAAGCCATTAAATAATTAGATCTTTTGTGACTGACATAACCATTACTCATTTGAGCAAGTTACTCACAGTATTACAACAATCATATTTCTACACTGCTCAAATTATCACTATTATTATTATTATATTTACATTTTGTATTTCATTAGTGTGGAAAACTGACATTATTGTGTAGTTAGTCACACAGTCAAGATGCTTACTGTTGAATTGTGGTGAGAACTGTCTACTAGCCAAATTGGTAGACAGTAATTTACGTCAATATTTACGTTCCCAAGATTTGTCGTGAGAAACAACCAATCGGAAGACTGTGTTTGTTTGTTTACATATCCATAGTAATGTACGTGAAAACATATATAAATATGCGTTGATTTCCTTAATAAATGATCTGTTGCCTGACTCTTGCCTTCTGTTGTTATAGAATTAGCTTACTTAAATTCAGAGAGCTGATCATCATCATTATCCAGCGTCATATCCTAAAGTCCGCTTCATCCTACTCCACGACTTTGGTTCAACATACCAATCGAAAGATGCGAAGATATAAAAAGACTAGTGATCTTGGACTATGGATGTCTCTGTTCAACCAGTGTCTAGCGTTAACTAGAGCAGAATATTCCGTATTAATGAGATCAAGTATAGGTTGTGTTAGATTAGGAGTAGGAGGTAGTTAATGAGGCTGTCATGGACTCTATCAGTTGTGTGTATCTTACGCATGCTAAGCCATCTCTTTCCTCAATAAATAATGTTATAATCAAAACAAATGATTCAGCGAAGAGACTCTTTACAACGAATTTATCATCCAGCTGTACAATCGTATATATATGGTTTTTAAGAAGTTATATCCGGTGAGGGAATTGAAACATAGGTGTGAATGCATAAAATAATAATAATAATAATAATAATAATAATAATATGAAATGCAATTAAAACTAAAATGTGTGTGATTATAATCGTAGTTAAAGGTCAAGTGGCAAGGCAAGTTAATGACATATATATAATAATTCATAGGATGGATAGAACTTGGTAGGTGAAGGGTGTGCAATTATAAGATTAGTAGACAATCGAATAAAATAAAAACGTTACGTAATATTGTGTGAAATTTAATAGCACAGAATTTAATGTTGCATAAAGTAATTGATTTAGAATGACAAGTGGAACAAGTGAAATAATACCGAGGATAATTAAAAGTGAGAGTAGTAATAGTAACAATTGACTTAATAAGGAAGAGTATACAAATTGAATAGACAAAAATGAAAAATTGGTAGAGCTAAAATATGATTGGGGATTACCATACTTTAGCATAGAGGGATTAAGAGCATGAAAGTTGGAGGGATTGAACGAACTTTTTCTGTACACAGAGATCTGGCTTTTCTGTTTCGATAGCCAAAGCTTCAGCAATACAGATGAATCGGGTACGTAGGGATTTGGGTAAATTATTCTTTGCCTTGTAGATGACTTTGAAGGCGGAGGGTATAGAGATAATTGGGTGATCATTATCGACCAGATGTCCAATGATCGCGCTTCTTATTGCTCCACTTTAACTTCTTAAAAACCATATATATACGATTGTACAGCTTGATGATAAATTCGTTGAAAAGAGTCTCTTCGCTGAATCATTTGTTTTAATTTTATATATGTTACAATGGGAATTTTCCAGGATTTAAATAATGTTAGCTCAAATAGAGTTAGGTTGGCAAAGAGTGTAAATAATAGGACCAAAATGTGTGCGTCGTTGGTACAGCGGTAGATTGCTGGCCGACCACGCAGGTGGTCGCTAAGCCAGCAATAAGACTGGCAAAGAGGGAATGTTAGGCATATGAGGCTAGCAACCCCATCCTGTAAAAATAATCACCACTGTTACAGAAACCCCTAAGCCTCTAGCTTGAAGTCCTATGTTCCACTGGGAACGTAAAGGAATTAAAAAAAAAGACCGAAATATGACACCAATCCATGAAGTCGGCACGTGTGTAGACTGCCTTAAGATGCTAAGAAACAGGTGTATGGCTTGCAACTGTTCTGAATTTCGCCAATGCATTCACGTCTTGTTATCGCCCTAGTTCAATTGAATTCTCACTGGCGAATTTCTGTTCGCTTTATATTTAGTCTACTTTTTGTTTTTACTCTATATTTATATATAATACGCCTTATGAAGTGTAGCGACGTGAACTGCTACACTTTTTTTTGTGCAATGTTTTCTACATTGGAAATTCCATTCTCAAATTGTTGCTTATTCAAAATAAAAAAAGGCATCATCAGATACAAAAATGTTGTGTGTTCAAAAACCTCATCAGCTGAAGCGTTTTTAATACTCTCTCAAACACTCTCAAAGTGTTTAGCTTTCATAATCTCTAATCTGAGCGAGAAATAGAGAGAGAGGGGGAGAATGATTGATGATAGTACTTGGGATTTTAGATAATAATCTCTAAAACTTTTATGTCTCCTCGATAACATAGCTTGCATACTTTAACTCCTACTGTGTTTTTTTTTCTCTCATGCGGTTTCATTCCCTGCGGTTTTCTCGATCACATTGTATATCAGTAATGTATAAGCACAATGTATACTTACTTTTTTTTATAGAGGTGGAGAGTTGTAACAAGAGTGGAAACATATTTTAATAATTCATCAACACACTTTACTTAATCTATTCCTTATAGGTGAAACTGTAGATCTTCGTGATTACGATGATCCTCATTTGGCAGCTGTTCTACTGAAATCATTTCTACGTGAACTTACTGAACCACTTTTAACCTTTGAACTTTACGATGAAATATTGGGTACAGGGGGTAAGTAATCGAAATAATCTCTATAATTTATTCTACTGAGTTATTTTGAAAAGTGTTTTCTACTTTCGACCAAAAGGCGTGTGTGTACTGCTCAGTGGCAGTTCGCTCTGTCCTCCTATATGGCTGCGAGTGAGACATGACCATTGAAAGTGGAAGATCATATGTGTCGGCGTTCTATCTCCCGTGTTAAGTGGTTTAATAAGGTGAGCAATATTGAGGTTAGGCGTCGAGTGCTTAGGTAGGTGGGAGGGGAAATCAATCGACGAGGTTGTGAATCAGTTACACCGATCGATGAGATGGTTAGGACATGTGTTACGCCTGCAACCTTAGCCATCACCTTCCCCGACAATGGACAATGTTAACTGACATAGGATGGATTAGGTTTAAATAGAGCTAGTGCTAGAGGTGGTCAAACCAAAACATAACTTCATCAGTCAATGGAATCCACAACAGTTAGTTTAAGCCAGCCAATCGCGGAGGCAGGCGTAGACTGCCAGACTAGTTGGGGTCCTCGGGATGGTAACAACCAGTGGCTGGAGACGATTGGTGATATGGCTGGCTCAAAAACATCGGTCCTGATGATGGCGCAGATGCATTGTCTCTTTGTGATTTATCATATCCACTTAAACTCTATTGTTCTTCCATATTGCTATCCTTCCCCCCCCCCTCACACTTCTGCTTATTACCCTTCTTTACTCTCCTCTCTTGCTTTGTTTGTGCTGCATGGAAGGAGTGTGGCAACTTGAACTGCTGCACTTTTGTGCAAATTTCTATGTTCAAACCCTTCAGTCAGTAAGGTGGTGATTTTTAAATTCGAGATTCACCAGCGAAATGTTTCTGAGTAGAGGTAGTGAGACATCTTAAAACAGTCCTACCTTTTGCAAACAGACTAAGCTCCGGTCAACAACCATTTTGCAGAAAATGAAACATGGGCCACACACACTTAGTATTATAGTGTGTACGAACAGCTTCCTTGATGCCATTTTCTGACACCGTGTCTGCTCAGCTTGCCTAGAGTACTCAATAACAAGATGTTTCACTTCATCCAATAAATAGGTGTGATAAATCCCCTGTGTCACTAAATCACGAAGTAGCGAGTGAGGATTTTCGAAATAATAAGGGGTTTGATTTTGCTGAATTTATTAAAGAATAGTCTTGGGGAGAGATGTTGTTCCTCTCTTCGCAAATGTGTTACTAGGAAAAGCCACTCATTTTTCAGTACTTCATCATGAGCTGACATCGGTTGGAGAACTATTGAAAACCCCTAATGAGTAGTGAACATCTGTTTCGTCCTGGCTTGGGACTCTTCATCAGCACCCACCTGGGTCCGAACCCAGGATCTTCCAGTTACAAGGTGATCTCTTACACTAGTGACTAGTAGTCGCGCTATATCGTGGATTGGCAGAAGTTGGAATTCATCGGCTTGCTATTGAATCGGGTCCCATTGGCTTTATGGTCCACTGTGGGAGGTCCAGGGTTCGAACCCCAGTGAGTGTGTACTAATGAGGAGTCTAAAACTAGTGGGACGAAACAGCTGTTGCAGTACTCCTTGGTGGTTTTCAGTAGTTCTCCAACCGATGTCAGCTCATGATGAAATCCTCCATACAGTTTTCGTCTCTAGCTGATTTTAGTTAGACATCTAACATTGAACAACTGATTTGATTACCATTCCAGTCGCCAATTTACATTTATACACTCTCATTTAACATTTATTTTACCTCCTAGCTCGTAGAGATATACGTCACGTCAGCTTTCAGCTGATGACTTCAGGTTTCAAGCTCTACTTCAGCCTGATAAACTAGTTAGTATCGTCTCACACAAAAAACTTGAAGGATCTGGACTTCGCCGATGATATATGTCTGATTTCCCACAAACTGGAAGATATGCAAGCGAAAAGCAACAAGTTGGCAGAACAAGCATCAAAGATAAGACTTCAGGTGAACATAGAGAAAACAGAGGTGATGAAGATTCTTGGCCAACAGAAACAGCAACAACAGACAACAATCAGCATAAATGGGAGGAACCTGAAAGAAACAACCTCTTTTACCTACCGACCTGGGAAGCATCGTTTCAACTACAGGCGGAACTGACGAGGATATCAAAGCAAGAATCGGAAAAGCAAGACAAGCTTTCACTACTCTCAAGTCTGTGTGGAGGTCAACAACACTCAGCATCAAAAATAAGATCCGGATTTTCAACTCCAATGTGAAGTCAGTCAGTGCCACTCACTATACGGATCAGAGACTTGGCCAGTGCGTTATAAAGAGCATCTCAAACAAACTACAGACCTTCATTAACAGTTGTCTTCGCCCAATACTCAAGATCAGATGGCCGGTCAGAAAAGATCAGCAACAGAGATCTCTGGCAATGAGCGAACCAACACAGCAGGAACCGATTGTGAAACAAATAGGCAGGAAGAAATGGAGGTGAATTGGCTGGCCATACTCTGAGGAAACCATCAAGTGACATCACTAGACAAGCCCTTGAGTGGAAGCTGAAAGGGAAGCGGCGAGTTGGTCGTCAATGCAAGGGTGACTTGGAGGAGGTCATGTGAAGAGGAGATGAAAACGTGTGGTGAGGCTTGGAGCCGGGTGAAGACTCTAGCAGAGAACAGAACGCAATGGAGACGCACGGCTGAAGCCCTATGTTCCTGTAGGAATTAAAGGAAACAATAATAATAATCGTCAGCTTATCAAAAACAGTAATTGTCATTCAAGTGCCCGAAACATATATTGCAATTATTTACTAAGCTGTAAGTTCTAACTAACATACTTCATAATATGAATCATTAAGTGTCCTAAACATTTATGACTCTTATTAGTTTTATTATTGAATTACGTTTAGATTAAACTTTGTGTTGTTAGACACATTCTTTTGTCCTTTCTCTTTCTTTCTTTTACCACAAATACTAACAATTAACCTGTTGAAGGTTTAGGTGCAAGAGAGAAAGTTGCCTTGGCTAAAGAATTGATCCTAATGAAATTACCTGACGACAATTATGAAATATTAAACTTCCTTATCCGATTTTTAACTGAGGTTAGTGGATTCTTTTATGGTTTGTTTATTGTTCCCCTATTTTTCGAGTGAAATTCACACCTTCAAGCTTTAAATTTTCTGTAGCGATAGTGTTTTTCCCGACAGGGTTAGGGTTGTTAGTCTGACGCCAAAATTCCCCTTTTTTTCAAGTTTTCTGTTGACTTTTAAACTGGATGCCAACTTTAGGAGTCTGCTGGCAAGTAGTTTGATTCAGGATTTGTTCGCGTTGCTGTCGAGCATTTAGTCATTAAACTACCGATGGACAAATAAGTTTCCCCACAGTAGATTGTGCATTGATCGGATGATATAAGTATGCGTATGTTCGACGATCTAGGTTACATCAGTCTGAACTAACTGATTTCTGTTTTCGAATCGCAAACACACAATTACAGAATGGGTGTTTGACATTTCCCCGGACTCACGTCGCCCTTCTCACATGCGTGTGATATATATACACCTATCAGGGGTGGAGATGTGTGGGTGTACTGTACAGAAATTTCTTCATGAAATGCCTATGGTTAAAGTTAAAACTGTCAACCTCTTCGCAGTTAAGTGCTTATTACATTGAACTATCATGGAGAGGACTTTGAAGTCCGTTATGTATAATCCTTGCATTATAATAATACATCTATCCTCGGCGTATTCATCGATTGCATACTGGATGCATACGGGATGGTAAAAACCAATGGTTGGAAACAATTGGTGACATGGCTCAAAATCGTTCTCAGTGGCGCAGTTACATCCACTCCTTGTGACTTACGATTCCCAATTAAACTGTTTTGTTCTCCGTTATTACTATTCCTTTGTCTCACACCTCTGTTTACTGTCTATATTATGCATTTCTTCTCTTGCTTTGCGTGCTACATGGCGACTTGTGGCGACTTGAACTGCCGCACATATGTGCAAAGTTCTATGTCGAAAACCGACCGACCGGATGCATACCAGTTTTGATTCTAGTTACTTGTGCCTATTAATATCAGATTTTTTTCAGGTAAAATGCGAAAGAATTTGGTATGCTTAGGGTAGTGTTGACGCTGCTCAACCTGAAGAATTTGATAACGTCCTGTAGTGGTGGTTACCTTGAAAAGAATAAGCAGTACGGTGTCGTTTGACCTCAAAGATCTTGGTGTGACAACAGCATGAGACTGGTGGTTACACATTATTTGTTTGGAATTGGTGTTTATGCAGTTTTGTCCGTTAAGAAAGTCTTACTGCCTATACCCCCCTCCAAAGCCTCAGGATGGTCGGGAGTGGGTGCCTTGCGCTGCGGGTTGGCCACCACTCCGCACACCTCTTGAAATGCTCCCATATGACCGGGCGTCTTACATAGCCTCTCCTGAAGAAGTCCTACTCACTGCCTTCACGTGGAGGAGGTGTTTTTCACCAAAGTGAGAGGGTGAAAGCGGATGCCCGGCGCTCTTCACCGGGTTGACTGTCCATTGGATGACAGTCTAGGGGAGATGGCTAAACCCTGACTCCAAACCTCCAACTACTGGCGTATGAAGCTCACTGGAGCTCACCGGCAGACGTATGGACAAAGGGCTTGTTGGATGTCCTGGATGTCTGGCCCCATTCAAAAAGGCATATGAACCGAACTCCGGTCACCGGCTGCCAATGGATAGTGGACTCCCTACTCCACTCCTACTGCCTTGTAGGTCACACTTGGTTGTGTAAAGGCTAGAGCTGCACTCTCAAACAAAAGGCCGAGCGATTCTGGGGACATCACTCGTACCAAATTCCCATGAAACTTCATGAACTCTCTTCATCAGATCGCCGCGCCTGGGCAGCGATGATTCGAGATGTTTATGAAGCCGGCTCATCCTCCCGTAGGAGATAGCCGAAGTAAAGTAAAGTAAAAGTATACCCCCCACGGCAATGAACCGCCACCGTAGGGCAAGTTGGAATGTACAATTTTCGGAGGTCCTGACCATTTCTGTTCCTTCTGGCCAACACCGCTAGGTGGCATAGCTGATTTTCTGATTGCTTAAAGGGTAAAACACCTGACCGCTCTACTGCATTCACTCCTATCCTCTAACAGTACAAGTACAACTTCAGAGTCCTTATATCGTGCAAAGAACTTACACTATTTGTAAAAAATTATATTTGTAAAGTCTCAGTGAGATTGAAATGAGTAATTCCAACGTTTCGTTCGGCCATCTGGTCCGAACTTCTTCAGGGAAATTAATCAAAATAAACATAATATAGGTTTATATATAAAAAGGAACATCACTTGTTTTTAAAAATTTGTCCAATCATGAGTCATTCAAAAAGTATCAACAAGTATAATAAACAAAATTTTTTGAGCTGTGATCAAAATTTGACCTCGGACTTACAAATGTTGGTCTACCTTTGTTAAACACTTTAAACAGAGTGCGTATGTGTGTGTGGGTAAACAGTTGTAAAACATCTCTTAACGTTTCGATAAGAAGATATAGACAGTCAGGAATTTGACCAAGTATTATTAATAAGTGATACATATCCATTTTTATTTATTAATCAGTATTTCCTATGCATCAGCTAACATCAAACCTTCATGTCCGTTCAAACTGCTAGTATCTAGAATTTTATGATTAGACGTATTTTCAAAATTATGCTGTTTAGGATTAGAGTTTAGTTTAAGCACCCTGTTGAACTTATTGCATTGTCTTCTTTCTGAATATTGAGCTGCTTTATTCGACCTACTGGGGTTGTCAGGTGACTCGACAGCTACGGATTTAGGATGTGCATTTTGTTTTTTATGTATAAAACCTCTGTTATGTTTATTTTGATTAATTTCCCTGAAGAAGTTCGGACCAGATTGCCGAACGAAACGTTGGAATTACTCATTTCAATCTCGCTGAGATATTACAAATATAATTTTTTACAAATGTCTACTTCTCACTCGGCGCCCAAATATTTTAGAACTATTCGGTCAAATCTTGGCGACAGTTCATTTGAACTTACACTATATTGGTAATTTATTTGACTGCATGCGCTGTTCATACGTTTTTCTTCTTGTGAAACTACACGACTTGAAGTGATATCCATCTCGGGCAGTAGATGTCGCTGGGTGAGTGATCGAGCCACCACTACTTCGAGATAGCTGGTGTCGGTCAACTTTCAGTGGTAAATAATTTTTATTCTGGTTATCTTTCTCAACTACTGACTTTCTTTTTTGTACTGGTGTACTATTTTCATTTTTCGTTCTGTTTTCATTCTTTTTCTCTTTTTCTACTTCTCTCTCTTGCTCAGGTGAGTATGTACTCTCAACAGAATAAAATGAATGCAGCCAATCTAGCTGTTGTCTTCGGTCCTAGTTTAATATGGTCAAGGAATCAAGCATCACTGACGGCAATGGGTGTGATAAATGCCTTCACACAGATTTTAATTACGCATTATGAATATATTTTTATTAAATAGAGGAACAAGAATTCATCACTAGTGGGAATGAATGAAAATAAAAATAAATATTCATGACAGGAAGTTCCAGTTATTTGTTTTCTTTTTAATTCCTTTTTTTTACTCCAGAAACGAGAATTCAAACGCTTTTTGTACTCTCATTTTGTTTCTTGTGATATATAATTCGTCTGCGAATGTTATCTCTAAAACCATATATATATATATATATATATATATATATATATATATCAGTCTTTCAATACTTTTACTCCTAACTAAACTGTTTTTGTTTGAGTTTTGTTTTGTTATTGCAGCTCACTTGTCCATCTATCATTATTATTAATATTATGATTTTTTTAATCTTCAAAACTTCCATGCTTCTTTTATTTACTTGTGTACTTTCAAGTGTGAAATACCAGCTTTCAGCATCGTTTAACACCTTTTTTTTCTACAAAAACACATAATCAAATTCCTGTTCTTCTTTTTATGTTATTTATCGATTAGTTAACTTGAGTAGTCATAGTGTTGCCTTCTTTGTTTCTGCACTGTTACTCTCTGCCACTGACCAGTAATAACTCTACACTCACGTGTATGTTTGTGTGTGGAAGTGTTCACGTGAAACACAAACACAATAACGATACATTCCTCTCTGGTGCTTGTTCGTTCGACAGGTATGAATCAATGAATGAATCTCTGTTTTTTTTTGACTACTTATGAGTAGTATGTATGTTTAGTAGAAATTAGTAATACAATAAGTAGAGCAAGTATTTAGGACCGTATGTAGTAGATGGTGATCATTTTACTCATTGTACTGTTGTTTTCTTATTATTATTATTTTCTTTTTTTAAAAAAAATTTATGATAAGGCTGTGGCTATCTAATTAATTTTTCTGTTTTTCTCTTTTCATAACACACAAACTGAGATAAATTGCCTTTCTGGTTATTTGTTCCTCCTCACCAAGCCCTTCCCTTCCCTTCTTTTTTTGGGTGTGTTAAAATGGTGTGGGTCAGTTAACTTGTGTTGTAATTGTGTAAGTTTAAGTGAACAAAATAAAACTGTGGAGATTTTTCTTTATTCACAATGAGTTAAACCACTAATGTGAAACTTTGAGATATTGGATGGATGGATCATTCCCACCCCGCCCCCCAAAAAATCGTTTATACATGTTGAGTGTTGAATACTGTTGTATATGCTACGTTTATCATTTCGTTTCCTAGGTTACTGCTAGTTAAATATTGGCTTCTATCTATTGGCGTACGGTGTAATAGTAGGACCTGCATTGCCCAGTATTAAGATATTTTACATCTATACTAATATATTCGGAGTTGCAATCAGATTTTTGGGGTTTCTCAACACCTATGCAGTAGAAGATAATTTGACTACCAACTCTCTCTCTCTCTGTCCCTCGCCGAAATGCACTCATGTGACTTCTTCATGGCGACAGATGTTCTTGCAGAGATAAGGTATGTAGTATAGGATTGATACATGGGTGTCGGTCACCTGAACGCATTGGAAAAGCTTGATTCCAAAGTAATGTTATCTAAAATGAACGAATGGCTCAACGAATACTGCTGTAAATCGGACAACATACTGGTGTGTCTGAAACCCTGGGTAATGTGGTTGTTAACGTGCGCTGCATTTCAGAAAGTGCAGCGAAAAGTTTTGGATAACTTCTCCACTTATCAGATTAAAGAGTCTCTTACATGTGTCATTGACATCCCACTCACATAATGAGGCTATCTCACCGAACATTGGAGACGAAGTAGCAGTCGTTTACGAACTGTTAAGTCAGATTGTTATATAAGATAAAGAAGCAACTGTTTAATAAAGCATTGGCTTTCCGTCATTTTTGATTACGCACCGGTAGATTGAAGCATGGATTGAACTGTATATGAGTGCTATTATCATCTGAGTGACCTCATACGAACCAACGTGAGAACTTACTTGGTTTTAGGTACTTTAATGCACATGTGGGGTATGATGCGTTTCGTTTTGTTGTTAATTAAGATTAGAATGTTGAACATCAGGTTACATGGACTTCTTTCTATGATTGCCTACAGATCACAACCCATTTCTAACCAGAACTAAGTCCCGATACAGCTATCGTCGTAATGTATTTCGGCATTAACCCTTTGCTGCTGAATCATGGACACAAAACATTCCTGTTGTTTTAGTTTGTGACAAGTTTCTCGTGCATTTGCTTGGTTATCATAAACAGACTGACGTAAGTCAGTTGCTTGCATTCGCTGCTGCAGCTAGGTGACAGACAAGTAATCCTTTCGAAAGTATAAGTAAAACTTCAAGGTGGAGTATATAGGCACTCGTGACCTGACAGTAAACTTCTTAGGAAGGAGGGTTCCTGACAATTTCTTGTCTCATCGTTCATTGCAGCGTATAGCTAATATGTTGCCATTGTGTAGGGTGCATTTGCAACCTGAAGAATGACCATTCCAGCTTGCGTATACAGCGGACATATATCATCTTAATGTGTTTGAAATAGATAGCCGAATTGCAAACTATTAGTGTTAGTACGTATGGTATATGCTTCTAACTGACTCAGCTCAAAATGTGGCTGCTGGAGCCTGCGTTCACTGTCATCATCATAGATGAGTCATTTGAAGTAGTCGAGAATTCGTGTGTATCTGTGCAAACTGAGATGTGGCTGGTAAGATTTCTAGTTGTATTGAGAAAGTCACGACGATATACGCTAATCTGGGTTACCTCTGCAAACTGAGGAAGTGTAGCGTGTTTGCTTGGACCTGGTGATGAACAACATAGGTACTTCTGTGTTGTGTCATCTAAATGACGCTGACTTTGCTGGCTGGAACTTGTGTTAATGATGTCACTTCAACGGCCGCCGTATTGTTTACTTCCTACAAACCATGAGACTAGTTTACCAAAGGGGAGATGTCATCACTCCATGAAGTGGTAGCATGGGATAAAGAGGGGTGTTGTTGTTACATCCCATCTTGATATGCGAGAGATCATTTGACTTGAGACGTTATCAAATATGTCTCCAAGTAGGAGTCAATGAAGAACATGCCTCTGTTTCTCTCTGTCCTCTCCTTTTAGATTGTTACTTGAAAATCCCCATTCAGTCATATAAAAGAAAAGAAGGCGTTCAGCGAAGAGACTCTTTTCGGCGAATTCATTCACTGAGCTGTACAATCGAATTTTATACAATTTTGTTTGTGTGTGTGTACATTAGATTTATAAAGTTTAGGTAATTATGTAATATAAGTATTTTTTTGGCTTGGAAACAAACGTTAAGATGGAAAATAAAATAGAATTGATTAAGTGAGTAGAATTCAGATTAGGTCAGGTTGGCAACTGTGTTAATGAGTGGTGTTTAAAATCAAATAAAGGTGGGGTTAGAGAATAATACAGTTGAAAATAAGTAAGTTAATCGGATGACGTAACACAGTTGACTAGAAATTGGACGTGGGTCAAGTTAGTAACATTGTTAATGAGGGTAGAGATTACAAAAGGGTGGGGTAGAGAATAATATAATATGATGACGGCCACGATCTCAATCAGTCACTGCAAATATTCAACAAATGCCATCCAACCACAAAGTTCACTCTTGAAATTGAAAACGAATCTAAAATCCCCTTTTCTTGATGTTGAACTTACAAGGAGAGCTGACGGAACTTTAAGAAGGTCCATCCATAGGAAACCCACATGGAACGGCCAACTGACAAGCTTCTACAGCTGGGTACCAATCAGTCGGAAAAGAAACTTAATTAGATCTCTTGCCACTCGCGTCCGACGCATCTCCAGCTCAGATACCATGGAAGAAGAACTAAACTTCCTCAAAGAAACCTTCATACAAAACGGTTACCCATCAAGATTCGTGGACAAAAACATCAAACAAAAATCCAAAAGCAAGAAACAGCATCTGTGCCAAAAAAGATACTTTATCTGAACCTCGACTTCAAGGGAGACCAACTCGGTGACGTCCTTAGAAGGAGGAGGAGGATCTCCACCTTCTTTCTTTGCGGCAACATTGAAAGTAGTCTTCTCTAGTCGCCCGCTGATCTGCAGCAGCCCAAAAGACAAGATCCCGCACCTGACCACTTCTATGTGTGTATATCAGTTCACCTGTTGCTGTGGAGCCAGGTACATCGGTCGTTCAACGCGTATCCTGTCAAAAAGGGTCAAAGAACACTATCCAGCGTGGCTACAGAAAGGAAGTAATGGCTGCATAAGGAGTGCAATAATCGAACACCTCGTCAACACTGGTCATGCCATCTCAACAAACGCCTCCTTCAAAGTAATCTACAAAGTGAAGAACAACCTTCCAAAGACAGTACGATTCCGTCTTCTTTGCATCGCAGAAGCCCTAGCTATTAGGCTAGAGGAGCCAGAACTGTGCATACAAAAGGAAATTATTCAACCACTTCTACTCCCATGGTAACAACTGTGTTGATTTGACTTAACTTTTCTTTGTTTCAGCAATTTGAAAATTCCAATTCAGTTATAGAAAAGAAAAGGCGTTCAGCAAAGAGTTACTCTTTTCGGCGATATCATTCTCAAGCTGTACAAACCGCAAATTTATAGTAATTTTTTTTGGCAAGAAAATGAATATTTCCAAAGATGTGTTAATGCAATTGATGATTTTTTGATAACAAATTACGTAATTTAGAAGGCGTTAATCGGTTAGAAACTAAAATAAAGTTACAAAAGTAAGTTGTGTGACGTAATCTAATTGATAGGGTTCAATGAAAAATGAATGAGAGTCAAGTTAATAATCTGAGTAGAATTCACTTGAAAATGAATGAGAGTTAAGTTAATAAGCTGAGTAGAATTCACTTAAAAATAACCGAAAATGGAGTTAGCAACAGTCGTCATGAGGGTAGAGATTTAATAGAGGGTGGGGTAGAAAATAATGCAATTAAGAAACAGACAAACAAAGAAGAAAGAGTTTTGTTTGTTTGATTTGACTTAACTTTTGTTTGTATGCTTATTTTTCTACTCAAAACCCTTGTGTTGTTACAACAGAAGGCAAGAGTCAGGCAACA